GTTGAGCCTCCGAGACAATACGGAGGATTATATAGGCATTTTGAGTCACTTGCAATTAGATACGGGCTGAGCATATCAGTTAATCAAGGCGATAATAACGTCTTCGTGAATGAGGTTACTCGATGATGGGCTTCGTCTGATGTCGTTGGTACTGCTATAGGCGGTAATGCGTGTGAAATCTCACCACGTGGTAGAGACACGTTTATAAGATCTACGAAAGTCTGCTGAGTCGTCTTGGAGATATATACCATGTCAATGAGCTTATGAGATCTGCTTTCGCACATTGATGTCTGGTGGGCTCGTGAGATGCTCACTTTGGGTGCGTTCACTCAATATTTTAGAGCTCATACGCAATTGCAGGGCTCTAAGATTTGTACGGGAAGCCTAGAGTAGGAGCCATATTGAACTGAACAGCCAGCCTCAAGGCATCCGTCCAGGCTGGACTGTGCCAGTATACATGGCAGGACCATGTGAACGAGACGTTTGGCAAACGCTAACTCTCGATCAAACTGCAAGTATGGTCTTGCGAGTAATCATGTCGGTTTGACGCAAGCAGCTTCACAGCTGAGGATGTCTCTTGGATGTCCTCCCCAACTCATAGTCAGCCCGTGAGTTTGCTTTCGCTCCGCATCACGGTCGGAGAATTTCACGGCCGAGGATACCCAAAAAGTAATTCCATTGTTTTCATGCACTTGTGGCCTGGAGTCTTCGCTTGAGTGTATCACTATCGACTACTTGCTTTTGACATTGTCATTCTCAACCCAACACAGTGGCAACGACTTGCCAGCCAGAATCCGTCAGTGGATTTGACACATGGATAAGACGCGTCGCTTTGCGTAAGACACTCGGTATCTGTGACAGAATCACTAAATAAGACGGCAGCTCCCGATAAGATGCCGTCATGATGCACCTAAGTCGCGTATAAACATTCTTCTCTCTACGATCCCCTTGGTGATGGGCCCCTAAGTAGAGGTATTAACAATGCCATGAGTGCGAAGTTGAAGTTCTTATCAAATGAATCGGCTATATTTAAGGTCGAGGACTCTGTTCAGTTGCCCGAGTCTAGCGACTAGCATAATGTTATGAACAACCGCACCAAATTTAATGTTCCACGTCGTGCAGAATGACCAGGAGTTTCGAGCCATTGTTTGCTGAGTTAACATGAAGTTGGAATAAATTTATTTACATTGTTTGCTTGGCTTTCAATTGACGGTAATGAAGAAAACGCCGGTTGAATAAGAAGTGTGGTGCTGAGAAAGTGAGGGGGCTAAACTGGTCAAGACATATGCAATTTTGTCACACTCATTCGGCGACGCTGGACGTGAGCTGCCTGGCTCATTCTTGGCCTGATTGGACCGTATTCGCCAGCTTGGCATGCAGTTGGTCCAGTTGGCTTAACATAACGCATAGCCTACGTGCGATTTCATTGGGCTTACTGGCAGATGGCTTTGAGGGGCATTTCGACATGGAGGGGGGGGAATATCACCGTCAGTAAGGCTGCAAAGCAACAAAGGCTAGTTCTTAAGCATAATCGAACCTTTTGCTTTTCATCGGGCTATCTACGCGTCGGAACCAACTTCTACCATCTATCCGCCGGATTCGCTTCTCGAACCACTGCACAAGGTGCTCGCTACAGATGCAGTATGTCGCTTGAGCTACGTGAATGGCTCGACGCCTATCTTGCAGCTTCAGATCGGGACCTCCAAGCCGACTCGGATCTTATTCAGCAAGTCAAGTCCGATACGCTTGATGAAGGATACGTCAACAATGAGGTGCGACGCTTATGCCTGACAGCAAATGTCAAGGACGGATTCTGCTTCAAATGCCGAAACTTGTTCGACAACTGGCCAAATCCAGTGTATGGATTATCGGAAATAGGGAGATTGCTACACACCAACGAAATCGAGGCGGCTGCTGAGGTGGGATGCAAGTTTTGCGCCTTCTTACTCACAAGGCTCAAAGGCACTCACTACCTCGAGACGTTTCGTCGGATCGAAGCGCGATTCAGAAACCTCGGTCATGAGGGTTTGGCATCTTTGGGAATCGGGTATTGGGTTATTGAAGGCCGCCAGGAGCTCCGGATTCACCTCCCTGCTAGATCCATGAATTACTCCCCGATTTCAGTGAGATCAACGATATTGCCCTCATCAGGTCTGCTCAAACAGCTCTCTCCACCTTCCTATTCAGTGTCAACTACTGACGGCGTTGAACAGCTGAAAAGTGGACAAAACTAGCTCCCGGCTTGCACAACATTGCAAAGGAATGGCTGGCTGAATGCGACTCGTCTCATGCCGGCTGTCGTAGCATTGTTCAGCATGAACTTCCCACGAGACTGGTTTCGATCGCGAGCTCTGGCAGTTTAAAACTGGTCCTGACAGCGAAACTGTGTCCCTCCGTCACACCTCTCAAATACGCAACCCTCAGCTACTGCTGGGGAGACGGCCAATTCATCAAGATGACGCCAGAAAGCTATTCGTCATTTCTAGCAAACATACCAGTCGAAGAACTTCCCAAAACCCTAAGTGACGCTATTCAGATTGCAAGAGACCTTGGCATATCCTATATTTGGATTGACGCGCTTTGCATTATCCAAGACGAAGAAGACCAGGCCGACTGGAAGAGGGAGTCAGTTCGTATGCAATCCGTCTATGGCGGCTCATATCTCAACATTGCAGCGTCTGACGCAAAAGACGTACATCAAGGCTGCTTTCTGCGGCCGGATGGCTACAGCTTTGGCACTATAGCACGGGTGAAGGTGGTGAGCAACGACGAGCACAGGTGGCAAAGTTTCTGCGATCCAAACGCATACTCTACTTCCATTGATTGGACCCACCTAGCCACCAGAGCCTGGGCTTATCAAGAGAGGCTTCTAGCACCCAGAACCATTCATTATGGGCTTGAGGGTGCATTTTGGGAATGTAGGACCACCATCAGGTCTGAATTCATACCAGACGGTTGCTTTTACGGGTTTATAGGCCGAACACTCCGTCCCGAATGCGAAGCATTAGACTGGCCTTCAATTGTTCTGCAGTATTCTGCAACGAAGCTAACATACAGCTCGGATTATCTGCCTGCACTATCTGGCGTCGCTAAACGGCAGCAACAAGTTCACGCGGGGGACCAGTACCTAGCAGGAATGTGGAGAAACGATCTTCTCAACCGACTTGCCTGGAGATGTGTCGGGATGTCGAGAAAGAGGCCAAAGTGGAGGGCACCTACGTGGTCATGGATGTCCGTGGACGCTCAATTCGTCTATTACCCGGAAAGCCGGCCTGTCGGCAAGCATTGTAATAGAAATTACTACATCCATGTCCTTCAAGCTGAAATAGTACCCAGCGGCGAAGACCCCTTTGGGTTGATTTGCGAAGGAAAGCTGGTAATAGCATATTCGGAGCTATTGAGGGCCACCTTGTCTCCGGACCAGGTCGAGGGCGAAGATCTGCGACAAGCTCCGACCTTCGAGAGTAGCTATACATACTTGCAGCTCGAAACTGGGATAATGCCCTTTCCAATATCGATCGACTGTCTCGAAGAAGATACCAAGGAGGGCGTATACCTCCTCCCAGTATTTGGGGATGGGGATAGTTTGAGAGACAGCAACGCCATGCCTTCTCAAACAACGAAAGACTTCGAGGATGAGCCTGAAGTTGATGAAAACATACATCGCGCCGCACATAACATCGAAAGGAAGAACGATGGAGGAGAGAATCACGAAATGGATCAAGGTAGCGATGACACAGATGCGGGTGTACATGACCGCGTGAGGGAAGACAAAGAGGGGCGCTTCGGAAAGGTGTATGATAACTCTGGTGGTTCTGGAGAAAACTATCGTGAAGGCGGAAGTGATGGGCTCACAACGGACATGCTGCGACCACTTCACATTTCTGGAATTGCCCTCAAGCGTTGTGGTAAGAGCAAAGGGCACTTTCGTCGAATCGGCTCCTTCAAAATATTCAATTCCCACCCAAATGGCACTACACGGGACGCGGAGGACCCAAATAACTTCTTCCTCGAATTTCTGAAGATCATGGGCACAATTGGCACTTCAACGGCCGAGGAGATGTGTGCCTCAAGAGTCTCAGAGGAGGACTATTCAAGGACTATACACCGTTTCACCATGACGATAGAATGATCGTCCGCGCTTCCAGGCGTTAACATTCCATTCTATATTAGCAACTCGAGCGTCGACATCCCCGGCCGAGGGCTCTTCAGGGATGTCACTCCAGACGAGCCAATGGTTCGCAAGCATGAGTATCAGACTCCTGAATTGGACAGACAAACATACGAATCGAGGTTTCCAAGCAACACAAGATAACAGAGCCACATCTTTTCCTTGGTTCTCCACTAGAGGCTGGCATACTCCTCTCATATATATATCGTGAAAAACCCCGTCGAGAGATAGCCCAACCTCAAAGCAGGCAGCAAACAAGACCTATCAACCTCCACTCGTCGGTCAGACATCCGCATGGCGAAATGGAAGCACAAGTGTGACCATGAAGACGACATCACCAAGGACACCTAGGCAAGGGAAAGACCGGCAGGGACACTCATCTAAACGAAAAGGCAGGAAGCAATGATTACTCTTAAAGTCTATCAGAAGAAAAAAGCATTTCGCCTCGGAACGAAAACACGGCTCTTTGGAAATAAGTAACCATCAATCAATGAGTTTGCTGCTAGCTACCTAAAGCAAAGAAGTTATGCTGCAGGGGAGGCGTGGGAGCGAACGATCGAAGTAACGACACGAAAAAGAACAGAAGAAAAAGGCCCCAAGAGATGAGAAGGTTTTGCTGCGCGCTCCCATTCTAATCTCTCTTCCTCTCCCTTTTTTGGTAAAAAGATGCGCGCGAGGACAATGCATTTCATACCGAATCGACGGACTCGCGACCTCTTGTCGGATGCTTCTTCTCCTTCCTCAGTGACCTCCGCCTCCCCATCGAAGACGAACTCGTCGTCGAACAGACCCTGCTCAGAGCCGGTGGTTGTCGGTCCAAGTACATCTCCTAAGACGGGCTGTTCCATCCCACCCAGCTACGGGGCATCACACGCCAGATCTTGACCTCACCACTGCGTAGGTCGTCGAGCTTGAAGCTTTCCACCTTGACCTTCTTGCTCTCGCGGCCCTGCTCCCAGGCGCGGACCTTCTTCTTCGTGCCGTCCCACTCCGAGACGACGGCCACGTGGTCAGGCTTGCCGACCTCCATCGAGTACTTGGCATGCATTGGGCCGTGCTTGCCTTGGAAGCGGGCGTTGCGGACGGAGATGATGTCTCCAGGGCGGATTTGATCGTTTTGCTGCGTCGAGGCGTTGGCCATGTTGGAGTAAACGAGAGCGCCGTAGGCTCTGGTGCCAATAGGTGCGAGGACGTCGTTGAAGGGCTTAAAAAGTTCATGCACAAGACCATGCGGCGTTCCATCGCCAACAATAGTTTCCTTCTTAGAGGCAACCGCTTCGGCGATCGGCCGTCCGAAGCGCTCGTAAGACTGTTCCAGCTCGTCTTGACGGAGCGCCCTCGGAGGTGAATCGTGTCGTTGCTCAATCAGAACATCCGACGCGTTATTCTGGTCGTACTGCACCGTAATGATTGTTTGCGAGTAGTCTTGGAAGAGGACATAGATTGTACGAGTGATGTTGGACCCCTCTGTCGCTTCATCAGTCTCATAATAAAGATCACGTCTACCTTGGAAGACAGGCGGCACTGTTTTGTCTTGACGCCACCATCCGCTTTGCTTGGCCAAATCAACATCGTTGGCAATAAAGCCAGACTCAGCCGTAACGGAAGGCCTGTAGGCGTCCATGGACCGCCTCTGAGACATGGAAGCTCTGGACACATCCAGGGATTGGCGAGCGCGGCCCGCCGGAGGTGCGGGTGGTGGAGCTCTCGATTGCGCAGGTGAAGCCAGAGGCGGCGTCTCTGACTCGAAGTATCCCTCCTCCTCGATCTTCGGAGTGCGTTGAAAGGGGATTCTTGGTGCGGAATAGTTGTACGGATCATATTCATCATCGTCTTGGGTGGGCGCAGGCTCCTTCGCCGGGGGCGGGGGCGGAGGCGCTCCTCGGGGAACATCCACAGACCGTCGCTTGTCGGCTGGCGGGGGCGGGGGTTGAGATGGAATAGGAGGTGGGACCGCCCGAGGAGCTGCGCCGGTGGGGATGGGCGGCGGCAACGTTGGTGGAGCATCAGACACCGGCGATCTGACGGAGGTATTGTCCTCGATACTAGAGTCTCGGGCGTGGGCCTTCAGAGCATCCTTGTGCGGAACTGACGAGGCAATGTCGGTGTCGTAATCACCCTCATACTCGGTGACCTCGTCGTCCTCCTCCTCGCCCTGCTGCGGGGGTCTGATAGGAGGGGAAATCGGAGATGCAACATGCATATCCTGTGTTGACTGACGACTCAGCGGGCCACTAGGAGGGGGAGGCGGTGGTGGCCGTGACTGAGCTGGTGGAACAGCAGGTGCGGATCCAGGAATTGGAGGTGGCGCTCTGCTCATCCGCTTATTTCCAGCACTGGTGGGAGACGTTGGCGAGAATTGATCACCAGCCTGGGGGATAGGAGGCGGCGACCGTACTGCGCTTCCGGTCGCGACGGGAGGTAGGGGAGGAGGAGCGCGTGCAGTCTCCTCGACCTTGGGGGTGTCATTAACACCGCCAGACAGCTCATCGTCGGAGACTGAACCCTCGCTGGGAGACTTAAGCCCAGAGGTAGGAGGTCGGCCTATTACCATGTCAGACGTGGTTCTGCATTCTCTCTGGAGATACTCACCTTCAGTTGGCACAGGCGGCGGCGCAGGTCGAGCTCCAGGAACAGGAGGCGCGCCTGCAGGCTCGCGAGCGGGCACTTTCACATCGTCAGTAGTAGGACTTTGTATACCCGGAGAAAGCTTACAAGCAGGGGCAGGGCTGGTGACGGGCTCGTCCTGAGCCTCCTCTACTGTCCGCGGAGGCGGAGGCGGCGCTCTTGGGGATGTAGGACGCTCCGGCTCGTCGACCTCAACCGGCTCCTCGGATCGCCTAGGGACACCCATTCCAGGCAAGGCCATCATGCCCGGCACGGGAACACGGCCAGTAGGAGAAGTTGTCTCTTCGCGCTCCTCCTCAGCGGGAGCCTCGACAGGCTTCTCAACCTTCTTCTTTCGCGGCGGGGCTGGCGCGCCCATTGGAATTCCAAACATGCCGTGCATACCCATGCCACCGCTCATCTTGGCCATTCTCGCGCGAAGCTCTTCCTTTCTGCGAACCTCGGGATCGACGTCGTCATCCTCCTGCTCTTCCTCCTCCTCGTCTTGCTCCTCATCTTTGCGCGCCTCAATAGGCGACGCCACCTGGGCCACCTGAGGTCGGGGAATGGGTCGTGGTGCCGCATCGCTATCATCGCGCTCAGTCAGATCCTCTGGTCCTTCCGTGGTGTCGCCGGCACCACTCATATCGGCCTCGTTTCCGTCATCCGCCGCAGGACCCCTGGAGGGCTTGCGCTTAGGCGCGGGCGGGGGCGGTGCCCGAGCAGAGTCTACAGAGCTTCGTACGGCCGCCTGATCGGCCTCCACGCCCTCGGGCGTCGCAGCAGCTGCCCCAGCTTCCTCAGGCGCCTCCTGGCTATCGGTGCGCTTCTTGGGCGGAGGTCGCTTGGCCTTTTCCTTCTTTGCAGCAGCGTCTGCGTGGCGCTGTGCCTGCTCCATTTGCTGCTTCTGCAGAAGGGCCATGCGCTCTTTCAGACTGAGGGGCTTCGGGGCGTCATCGCCCTCTTCGGGGGCAGGAGCGGCCGCGGCCTTTTCGGCTGTCTCTTGGCTCTCGGTCTCTCTCTCCTGTATCTCGGGGTCCTCATCTCTGCGGTAGACCTTTGCGATCGGAGCCTGCTGCGGAGGCGGGACGTACGCATTTCGGCTAGGGGGAGGAGCCACGAAGGGCTTCTTGATGAAGCCAGCTCCTCCAGTCAGCCCGCTCGGCTTGAAAGGCGTAATGGGCGCAGCCGAGGCCTTGTTGAAGGCTGCGATGCGATCCTTGAATGCATTGCTGGATGGCTTCGGCGGGGGGCCAGGCTTCGACGGAGCGGGGGCCTTGGCGATAGGAGGCGATGTAGCCGCAGGAGATTCGATGGGCTTCGGGGCCGGAGCTGCCGGAGTCGGCTCAGGAACAGGCTCGGGAGCCTTCACGGGCGCGGGTTCGGGAGCTGCGGGTGCTTCGGGCGAGGTGGGGAGAGCTGCGGGGATGGGCGGCGCAGGTTGTGCCTCCTCCTCCTGAGCTTCCGGCTCTGGTTGAACGGGGGGAAGAGCTGAGGCGCTCGGCTCCGAGATGGGAGAGGTGACCTCGGGCTCTTTCTTGGTGCGAGTTCTCGTCGGGCGAGGCGGGGCTTGGGGCTCGTACTTCTCGACAAAGTTGCGAGGGAAGATGCCTTCATGTTTGACGCCGGAGTCATCGACGTATTCTCCGTTGTACCAATCGGCATCCTCCTCTTCCGTCACGGTGATGATGACACCTGGGGGGAATTGCAAATCATCTTCGTGAGGCGAAGAATATTCGAATAGGGCCTTGACCCTGAATGGGACGGTCGACATGGCCGGCAATGTTCAAATCGTCGTCGTCGGGGAGTGGATTGTCGTCGTTCTTGTTGGGTTGTAGTTGGAGGAGGAGTCGCTACGAGCAGGTCAGAGCGAGCAGCAGCTCTGGGCTCTGGGCTCTGGGCTCTGGGGTGTGGGGCAACGGAATCGGAATCGTCGTCAGCAGCTTTGACCTTGGGGTACGTGGGCTGTTGGTTGCAGTAGCGGGCGGGAAGCGAACAGCGAGGCGTTATTCGGGCAGCGGCGACAAGCAGCTACAGCTCAAACGCGCGGGGTTGGCGATGGGTTGAAGAGCAGATCAAGTCGAGGCCGAAAGACGGATTTTCTCAAACCGATTGAGGGGATGGAAGGGGGGCGGTCGGAGACAGAAAGAGGCTGTGACGAGGAAGGACGGGGGTGGAGGGATCTACAGTTGGCGTGTCGACGTCAGCGCATGAACTTGTAACTCTCTTAGTTCAATGTGCCGGGGCAATTGGGGGCCCTACCTGGGAGGGACACCTATGCGCGCACAAGAGTCATGTATGCAGCCCGGGGCGCAAGAGAGAAGAATACTATGCAGTATTCTGGACCGTGGTGACAAATGCTCTTTGGTGTTCTCTCACTTGCAGCAGCCCAAGCTTTGGGGTTGCTGGCGGTGCGGTGCGGTGCGGTGCGTTGCGTCGATGGAGGGAGCCGCAATGCGGGCGGGATGCTGGCCGAGGGGGCGGTTCGGAACAATATGTCGTTTTCCTGTCTGCCTAACTGATCCAGCAGCGCTGTATCCGCAAGATGACTGGCAGGCGGTGCTAAGAGCAGGGGTTCGTATAACGTAACGTCGTCCCAAGAGCGAGGTCTAATGTCTTTCGTCGTGTGTTATTCAGACCCGGCTGGAGTTTCTGAATCTTCAAGATGGGAGGGGGCCCTAGGAGCTTCTCGAAGGCGAGGATGGATGTTAGGCGCTGCGATGCCTCACTTAAGTTCTCAAACAGAAATGTCCTCCACCGTCATGGACGGGAGCAACGGCAGGACTAAGATAGACCAGGCGCAGGAGGAGGCACAGCCAGGCCGTACGAAGCTCGTGGTTGGTCGGAGAGGACCTTGTGGTGCAAGGTAGATCAAGGTAAGAAAGGGTAGCAGTCGCAGCAGCTCTGGTCAGGCAGCTAGCCGTCAGGTCTGGCACGGTAACGTCGGGCTGATGCTGGTGCTAGTAAGGTAGCAAAGTAGTCCAGATGGGTGAGTTTGTGGTGTGGTGGTGCGGGAGGACGACTTTGTTCGAAGGTGTGTGTGGCACAGGGCAACCTGGACGACCCCAAGATCAAACCAGTCCAGTGTAGCGGACAAGAAACCGCTACCTTTCTTCAGCTGGTCGAACCAATGAACAGAAGAGAATATACACCAAATTACGTGCCAACGAAGCCACCCGAACACCCCGCGCCACAATGTGACTACCTAGATCGCATCTGCTTCCCAGTATTCAGCACCAGGAAGGAGGGACCTGCTGATACCTAGAAATGGGTACGTATGTATGGTACATTGGATGTCGATTGGGGATCTGAGTGTGGGGTCGGAAGCTCAAGCAGCATCGGATGTTCTCCAACGCGGCTTAACAATTTTCACCCTCACATCTCGCCGCTCTTACGACCATCGTGCCTCTGGAAGTTCCCTCACGTTACTCATCTGAAGTGATACTTTCTCTTCTGCTCTCTTCCCACCCAAGATTACATCTACGACATCTTCGTATGGGCATTGAGCCCGCGCATCCAGTAATTCAAAAGCCGTCGCAGTCTACTCAGTAGCTGCACGAGGACGAACGGAATATGGCGACCGATTCAAGACCCCTCAAGGGCATCCTCAAAAAGCCAGCCGAGGCCGCCCCAGATCCCAAGAAACCCGACCCCCGCGAAATCGCAATCCAGCACGCCCGCATCATCCACCAGCGCAAAGAGCTCGAGCTCCAGATCCTCGAATCCATCGCCCTCCTCTCCGAATACCCGACAGAACGCGGCAGCCCGAAATACTCGTCCGCAAAACCCGCCCCGCACGACGCCGCCGACTTCAAGGCCAACATCCGCCTCTTCCAGCCCTCCGACTACGACGACCTCATCGAGGAGCGCAACGTCAACGGCCTGTGCGGCTACACCCTCTGCGCGCAGCCGAAGCCCAAGGCATCCAAGGGCGGCGAGTGGAGGCTCGTCAACGTCGGCAAGAGCAACTTCGACATCGTCAACCGCCGCGAGTCCGAGAAGTGGTGCTCCAGGGAGTGCCAGCGCAGGGCGCTCTACGTCAAGGTCCAGCTGAACGAGACAGCTGCGTGGGAGCGCATGGGCATCCCTGACATCGAGATTGAGCTCTTCGGCGAGGAGAAGGCACCGGAAGACCCTGCTGCGAAAGCCGCAAGGGATCTCGCGAATCTTAGGCTGGAGGAGGGGAGGAGGGCGGCGGATGAATCCGCGACGCTTGCTTTGGAGCGAGGCCAGCAGCGTTCTGGCAAGCAATTTACGCTGGCGATCCGGGAGAAGGAGGTTAAGGCGCCTGTGGAAGATGGCGTGTTTGCAGAAGACGCACATATGATGGTTGAAGGTCACAGGCCAGGAGCCGGCAAAGCTCAAGCTCACGCAGAAATGGCGCTGGTCGAGAAAATGGCAGAAGCAGAGTCTTCGCAATGAGCTCTGCGTGTTAAATGGATGTTCGGATGTAGGATTTTGGATTACGGAACAGCCATGGACAATGGCTAGTGGAAAAGCAGGTCGCCCACATAGATTTTGATACCCAAATGGCGAGCCAGCATTTTGACCACAATTTTGGCAGCACTTCGTTCACAAGGCCATGGTCTGGCAGCAACAGTGACAAGACCACGTCGTCACGGAGGTCCGGCAGAACCAGCCTCGCGGTTAGAGCAGAATCACAGTAGAAAAGGGGGTGGTATTGGCAATCAAGCGTCATCTCCGGAGTACTCCAGGAGAATCGGCGACACCTTGGGGAGAAGAACTTTTTTCCAGTTCCTAAAATGCACTCAAACCCGTCCTCAAGACGCCCGGAGCAGTAGTGTATCATGATATGCCGTTGCCGTGAGACCGTAAACTTTTCCACCCATTTTGTTCCTTTCCTGAGCCGTTCGTAGAGAAGATTTAGTCGCGGCGAGGGGGGCGGTCGCCGAAGCGGCGGCCACCGCGCTCCTGGACCTGGGTCTGGGCGACGGGGATGACGTTGACGGGGATGGCATCGAACTGTGTATTCAGTCAGCGTGTTGTCTTCGGGAAGCGTCGTCGTGATGTCTCGCGGACAACAAGGGGAGAGACGTACGCCAAGGTGCTTCAGCAGGTCCTTGGTCTCGACGTCGACGTCGAGCTGGCCGCTCTCGGAGTTCTGGGTGAAGTCGAGGGCGGAGATCTCGGGGACGTATTGGTCCTTGCGCTCACGCTCCTCCTCCTGGAGCTTGAAGGAGATACCGCGGACGGGGCCACGCTGAATGCGCTTCATCAAGTGCGTGGTGTAACCAGCAATCTGCATTGAAATCCACCGTCAGCAAAATTTCATTCCCTTCAAGATTTCTTCTCCGCTTCGAGGTTTCTCTGCGCGGGCTGTCTCTCGGGTTCTGCTGACCTTGTTGCGCAGGCGCTTGGAGGCGATGATGGCGATCTCATCGCAGATGCGCTTGTTGGTCTCGAAGTCCAGGGTGAGCTTGGGGTAGTAACGCTCAATGATGACCTTGGCGGACTTCTTGACGGTCTTGGTGCGGACGCGACCCATTTTGGCGGTATTGGCTCAGGTTGTTGCTGGAAGGGGTGGTGAGGTCGGTTAGTTGAGGCTGTCGCTGTCGTCGAGATGTCAAGAGTTCGCGGTTCGGACAATTTTTGATATGGTCCTTGTGGAAAAAATTAGGGCAGCCCGCCAGCCGAAAGTTCGTGCACGGGCCATGGGGCAGACCCGCCGTGGGTGCACGTGACAGGAGCTCCGTGACGGGGCCGGGTGCTCCGTGCTGAGGTGGCCGGCGGAAGCGGAGGTGGCCGAAATCCAAGATCAGGTCCACTTCTAACGGGCGAATTTTGACCTGCTGGCCTGGCAAAGCCTGGGGATGACGAACTAAGTATACCACTGATGACGTGCGAGTTTTTGATCAAGTAATGGGCTGTATTCTTTTTTAATTTTACAATACCATACATAGTACACGGCAACGTGCCCCTGTCTCCCACGCAGGAGCCGAGTCCACCTTCTATGAGACAGGCCGCTGGCCGAATCCCTCCTTGCTCTACATGGTCAACCTACGACAGGTCGAGGCCATAGCCTTGGGAGCTTTCTGAAGGGCGCTTGTTCCTGGCAGGTTGACGATCCCCAACGACTTTGTTTCCTTCGGCATTTCTGTAGGGGCTGCGAAAACTCTTCCTGCTCTGCACTTGGGCAAGAGGCGTCATGTTGCTCCGCTTCGCCTCAGATCTCGAAGCACCAGAGTTGTAAATATCAGCCTTGCCGACCAGCTCCTTGTAAATGAGCTGCGCCTCCGTATCAGCCTCGCCAACGGTGATCTGGATGGAGCCAGAAGAGTCGACGCGAGCATATTGGGGCTGCACGAAGGACTTGGCACCGCCCTCAATATCAGGGTCGAACGATTGAATGCCGGGAATCGTGGTCTTGCCACCCGCGAAGGCTCTTGCGTTGAAAGCGGTGTCGCCCAGGGGTACTTCGGTGATGAAGCCACCAACACCGAGCTTTGCGGTCTGCTGGGTGCTTCTCGGTTGAACAATACGCGCCAGGACGGGAGTCTGATGCGCCTGGGGGCCGTAGACGGGGTGGTTCTCGGCGAAGGCGGCGGTGCGGAGGTATGAAATGCCGGCGGATGGGTGGGACATTGGTGGGCCGTTCTCAGCGTACACGCTAGGGCGCTTCGCTGTATCAATGCGGTCCTTGAAGAAGGAGGGAGGTTGAAGAGGGGCGAGGTCGAGGAACTCGCTGACCAAGGAGAACAAGGTCACGCGGTCGGAGCGCAGCCTACGTTGGTACTCGATGAGCTGCTCGTCGGTGATGTCCTCGGCCGTCAACGGCGTCGGCGGCTCGTGGCCCTGGTCCAGAGCCTTTTGAAGTGCCGCCGCATTCATCTGTTCAGCATTACGTTTCTTCAGGAAAGAACGGAACTCCTCGCGCTTGCTGCGGACGTTCTTGCGCATGTACTTGTCGAATTGGCCCTTGGTCAAGCCGGCCAGCCAGGGACCCTTGAACTTCCACCTGTTTTCCTCGGGACGGCCAGGCTCCAGCGTGGTAAAGTCGCCCTCGTCCTCGAAGACGGACTTGGGAGCGTTGTTGAGGCCACCCACACGAGCTCGGTTCGTCGCCGGTAGTGAAAGAGGCAGATTCATCTCCTGGAACTTTTGGAGTGTGATGGTGTGGTCGGAGGCGGATCTGTAGTCGGTGACCTTCTCGATGGAGTCGATCTGCCTGATACGAACGGCGGGCGTTGACGACTTGATCGTCTTGTGTACGGGAAGGGCACGCTTGAAACCCCAGTCGCCGATGGCCCTCGAGGACTCGGGAGTGGTGATGGTCTGGTGTGTCGGGTAGGGCGTCGTCGCGGTCGGGGAGAGATGGCGAGAGACGGCAGCGGCGTCGCCTCCAGCTGGCGGGAGCGGTTTCGGGACAGAGAACATCCGCGATGATCTCAAGAGCGCCCCTCCGGGCGACAATCGGGCAGACATGGCGGCTGTCTGAGCTCTCGTGGTGAGCTCAGTCGTCAGTCAAATGTATCGCGAATTCGTAGACGTTGCGTCGATTTGCGTGAGAAATTTCAATTGGAGACCCCCGGAAGTTGCCGGCGCTGTCTGATTGGGTATTAGCTACCCCTGTCAGTGTCTCCGGCCCCGTTCTCTCAAAGTCTGGACGCCAGTCAGTGACATGTACTTGCGGTTACACAACTTGCGCAAGCAACTTATGCCTGGGGAGGAAGCTGTACTGATCTTCGCTACTTATTCATATTGGTGTTCGATATTATATGTAGCGATCCATAGATAAAGTACCCAGGCACAAATAGCAGATACGGTACATAGCATGAAGACAACACGAACAGCGACATATCAAAACCCCACTAAGGTACGGGTACCACCTATGCAAACCCCGCTAAGCCCAAAGTCCCATATCCCGCCTTAGGAAAGTCCTCCTAGCGCATCGAATTTGGTGACTTACATTTCGCATCCAACTTGGAAATCTTTCCTCTCCTCCTTATACAAGCAGCCTCTGGGCACGATCGTCCATGTGGATAGCGAAAAGGATGGCGTCAACTATGGTCGGGTCCTCGCCCGCCCTCACATTCGAGCTCGTCGCTCGCTGTTCAGTTAGTACCCATGCGGTCGCATGACCATCGCGTGCGAGACCTCTGCTGACAACTTAGGCTAGACGACGAGAGCTCGCGCATCCATCCTGACGCTTCCCCATGGTCCGGTCCAGCTTCCCATCTTCATGCCAGTCGCAACTCAGGCTTCCCTCAAAGGCTTGACTCCCGAACAGCTCGAAGAGACCAGCTGTCGCCTATGCCTGAACAACACCTACCACCTCGGCCTGAAGCCCGGCCAAGAGGTCCTCGATGCCGTCGGCGGAGCCCACAAGCTTCAGGGGTGGAAGCACAATATCTTGACTGATAGTGGAGGGTAAGAGACTCTCGGATCAACTGAATAGCATGGGCAGGAGACTGACGCTCCCCAGCTTCCAGATGGTCAGTCTCCTTAAGCTGGCCCGCATCACCGAAGAGGGCGTGCGCTTCCTCAGCCCGCATGACGGTTCCCCGATGCTCCTGACGCCGGAGCACTCCATGTCCCTACAAAACTCGATAGGCAGCGACATTATGATGCAGCTGGACGACGTCCTGGTCACCACATCTCCCGACGCCGCCCGCATGCGCGAGGCCATGGAGCGCAGCGTCCGCTGGCTCGACCGCTGTATCGCCGCCCACAAGAACCCCACCACCCAGAACCTGTTCTGCATCATCCAGGGCGGTCTCGACCTCGACATGCGCCGCGAGTGCACCCGCGAGATGCTCGCCCGCGACACGCCCGGTATCGCCATCGGCGGGCTGAGTGGTGGCGAGGCCAAGGCCGACTACTGCCGCGTCGTCCAGACGTGTACGGAGCTGCTGCCCAATCTGAAGCCGCGGTACGTCATGGGAATTGGCTACCCGGAAGACTTGGTCGTCAGTGTTGCGTTGGGGGCGGACATGTTCGACTGCGTGTGGCCAACGCGGACAGCGCGGTTTGGTAATGCGATTACCAAGGCCGGCGTCTTGAACATCCGTAACTGGAGGTACGAGCACGACTACGGCCCTATTGAGGAGGGTTGTGGCTGCATATGCTGTAGAAAGGGTGAGGGCGGCTTGAACGTCACTCGGGCATTCATCAACCACAACGCCGGTAAGGAGACGGTAGCTGCTCATTTGCTGAGTATACACAACGTGTGGTATCAGTTGAACCTGATGAGAGAGATCAGGCAGTCCATCATTGAGGACAGGTTTCCCAACTACATCAGGGAGTTCTTTGGTGGGCTGTATGATGATAAGTCAAAGTACCCCGAGTGGGCTGTAGATGCCTTGAAAGGGGTTGGTGTAGATCTAACAAAAGAGTAAATACCCTTCAGACCGCGAAGTGATATCAACATTGAGTTCTCGCGGTACAGATGCCAGTGACTAGTATCTAGTGGTTGTTCCCAAGCCATATCGAATACGATTGCCTCCGTATCCTTTGCGAATTCTTAACTTTACGGACTTCATCTGTGCAGCTAGACTATTTCCATCTACCTAGAAGACACGTTATACATCATAGTGATTCATTGTCTTCTTGAATCCCGTCCGTACCGCGCGAGGAAACTTCGCCAAACACTGGCCTTTTTACCGTTCCGTTTTCTACCAAGTCGTCTTTTGCCTCAGGCTTCTCGGCAGTATCATCCGCGTCTTGACTCCCGTTAGATTCCTCACTGGAGCACGAATCGCTCAGAGACTCTTCCATCTCTGAATCCTTTCCCGTCAGCGCAAAGAGGACATCGTCCAGGGCCTCCGTGAGGTACTTCTTCACCCGCTGGCACTCCATCAGAACCACATTGACGCGGTCGTAACTCTTCAGGATATCCTGCTCGACGTCAGCTTGCCATCCCCATAATCCAATTACTCCAAACGCATCAAACTCACATCGCCGCGGACATACGGGTCCCTCTCAAGCTCCTCGAATCGCACCGCAACAGCCCTGAAACGGTCAGCGAGACGCGGTATGTCCTCGATCAGCACCTCGTCCGGGACTCGGGACTCGGGTCCCAGGGGGTCCTTCTTCGCGTTCTGGAGGGACCGGGTCCACAGGACGTATGAAATGTCGGGCAGCTTTTGGCGTCGGCGGTCGGCGCCGGCCTGGATCGTGCGGATGACGCTTTCGATTCTGGGGATGGTGTTTGCCGTTTCGTTGATGGCCCAGTCGATGGACTTCTCGACTTCTCGCGTTACTGCGTGCGGGCCGCCGTGGCGTTGGTGGGCAACGATGGTGCTGTATCTGGCTACGATGAGCTTGCAGGTGTCTGCGATATCGGGAACATCGTCAAGGGTGGCGGCTGGTACTCTGGAGGGGGCCATGGTGCTTGTTCGATCTTTAGGCTGTCTATGTTTGGGTGAGTGTTTAGGAAGCTTTTGGACTTCAGGGTTGAAGGACGTTGGAAAGGCTCATATACTTGTCAGAGAAGGTCTGTCCCGTATCACTGAATGGCATCCGGATCACTCAATTCACTTGTGTGCACGGGATTGTTAGTACAGCTGGAGCTGCTGCTTATGATTCACGACCCGTGGTGCCGCCTCGTGCTGCTCTGGCAGTGTTTGCCAGCGGGCCCGTCTAATGCCCAACAGCAGACGTGGGACTGAAGTTGAATAACGGTGAATCTTTCATTGGCTTGCATATCCTCAACCTCCATGACCTCTATGTAGACCTACTCATACCATATTACTATCATTCCCGCCACCCTTGACGCTCGACCAGACGGCTATCCCGCCCCCGAGGAGAAAGACGACAACAACCACGGCCACTATAATGATGATTGACGAGTTTGGTTGCGGCGATGAGCTCGAGGCCTGGCTTACAGCGGTGTTTGACGGGATCGCCGATCCGGCCGAAGACACTGGAGTCGAAGCCGCTGTCGTCGAGGCGAAGGAAGAGGTGCCGGTTTCCTCTGTCGTCCACAGAGCCGTGCTTGTGGCGGTGGCAGAGAATGTCGTTGTTGGTTCGTCGTAGCATGCGAACGGGAGGAATGCTGAAAGGTCTGAGAAAAGATGAACGGTGAATCAGTCAGGTCCGTTGTATGATTGACGACTGCCAGATCCGCCTACTCATGCGTACTGGTGTGATTCAGAAGAGGAGGGGTATTCACTCACCGGTAACGAGTTCTGGTTTGTGGAGTATAGCCCAGTCATGGCACGCATTTAGCGCATCGTTGAACTCATACGGAGATGAACCGGGGCTGTGTTGAAGTTAGAAATGTAACTCTAGGTCAAGAACCTAGCTCACCATACGCAGTCCTCCATTCGCGAGTATCTCTCGTCGGCCGGTATCCTAGCTGTGCCCTGCGTCAAAGCGAACTTGGAGCAGCTCGCAACCCGGCTGCTGATCACATTACAAGCCGCGGGCGTGGCCGTTTCCACACGACACGCCTCGAAGCCGGCGCAGCCAGTGAATATGCTGTTAAACACTGATGTATTCTCGTCAGCTTCGCGTGTTACCTTAATGAGCAATACCACTGCACACATGTGGAGAGAAAGGAAAGCACGGTAAATTACACTCTTTCTCCGAGCTCATCGCCGTCTTCGTCCCGATCTGCGCTGCGCAGGAGGACCAGACTGGTGTCATGGGAGCTTCGCCGAGGCAGCAGAAACACCGAACGAGGTCCACATCGTGGTATGTCGGAGAAGCAACGCTCACGTCGAGCCCGGGGTTGCTGCGATTTACGCCGTATTTTGCTACACAGGAGCTGTCGACTGATCTTGCGGTCGAGCACGGGTCTGCTGTGATGGTTTCTTGAGCAAAGACGACGGAGGCAAGAAGCAAGAAGGGGTTGAAGATGCTTTTCTGGGCGCCGAGAATGAACAACATAGTGAAGGTTTGACGGGGTTTCTAATCTTGCTGCAAAAGACTTGAAAGAACAGAGACAAAATGATTGAATGACACACATCTTGGCCCGGGGAATTAATCGTATAAGAGGCCCTCTTCTGCTTGGGTCGCTTGTGAGGTTCCGACGCCCAGTGGCATCATCCCGCACCTGCTCCGGGCGGAATGCTTGTGTAGCAGTCGGAGTGCCAAGGGGCGAGCAGTCCAATCGTTGCGAGGCGGAATGCGAGGGCAGTGGCGATGCATGCGGGCGGCAGGGAGAGTGTGACCATACAGTGAGAAACTATCAGACAACCATCATTGAGAGTATAAGTGATCTGTGTTGTAATTCGAGGGAAGGCATCAATAATCGCTTATACAAATGATATTTCCCCCGCGTGCAACGTCCAAATTCTTGTGGGTTGTCGGGACTTCAGTGTTGTCAACTGCCTTTTGTGTAAGAGAACCACGCCGCATTGGCGCATGTCAATGATCTTTCGTCCTGTGAGTGGCAGTGCCGGGCGACGATGACGGTGCAAGGCCGAATCTGTGTAGACTTTAACTTGGTTTGCCTCGTTTCATAACGAATGCCGTAGAAGATCTCCTGGTGGAAAGGCTCTGAAAGTGAGATGCCCAACTCTTCGCACGGGTAAAATAAGGCTGTGTCCCTTACACACGCAGCATGGTATCATACGATCAGAGCACCGTGGCAGCGGCAATGAAAGGAAGACATAGGCTGCCTTCGGTGACGATATGACGATACTGGGCTGTCTCATTTGTAACTATTGCCAATCACTCTGCCCTCTCTGAGGCCAGCCGCTTTGCAGTCAATGTATGTTCAAGGGTATCCTACAGGTATTTGTTTGTACACATCAGCACGTAAATACTCTCTTCCGCGGCCTCTACCTTCCATGTCTATGCTGCCCTCATGCCCGATGCTCATGCGATGACAAGTCTCCCAGATCGACGATGTCCTCATCCTCAGACTCCTCCTTATCTTCCTCGCCGCCATCCGCAGGCGCAAGGCCGGGCTGTTGGGGTAAGGGCGCGTAGTCGACGGACTTGTCCGCAGCGGTCTCATCCTTGCGGCCGATAATGACGTTGCCGGCGACGAGGAGGGCGGCGCCGAGCCACCAGAGCGGCGGGAGAGACTCGGAGAAGATGGCGAGGCCGAGGATGGCGGTAATGACAAAGTTTGACGAGGTGTTCATGATGGAGACCTGCGTCGTTGAGTTGCCCTTGGCCAGGGCCTTTGTGAAGAGCGTCCACATCTGGAGTGTGTTAGTCCTGATGGTCGAATGATGAGCGCAGTTTTGAGTCAAACTTACAATGCCATTGAAAACGAGGTTGAGACCGAAAAAGACCTGTGCTTGATTAGCATCGGCATTTAATGGGGCAATTTTCACTGAACTTACGGCTCTCATGACGACCTCGAAAGCACCCTCAATATCCGACAATCCCAGGAAATTTGAGATTGCTTGCGAAATGGTGGTTGTGAGATCAGTTGTGGTCCTGAATGCATTGTGAGTGAGACATTCAACAAAGAAGCTGCCCCGAGCTCATGAAACGTCCAAACGCTAGTCGAAACAATGAAAACATGAAGAAAAGAAAACAGATGTAAACACTGAGGAAATCCTCAGACGAGTCCTCATAATCAAAAATCGAATTGCAGCGTTGTAAGTAAGACGGGTTTACCGAGAATACTTGGCATCACGTCCCGATTGAGCCGAACCATGAGACAGGTGAGAAAATCCACTCACAGCTTCGCAAAGACGCCGTTGAACGCAGCGCAAGCGCCGCTGGCAATGGCAAGCACAATCCATTGGTTTCGGCGAGCCCAGGTCATTTTGGAGTCGTCGTCTGTCTCGTTCTCGTCTGCCTCGGTCGGCGGTTGGCTGTGCTCGTCGTCCTCGTGCCGTGGGAGCAGCGGACGGCGCTCATTGTCCAGGGACGTCGTCTTCGCGGCGGCCATGGTGGGTATCTCTTCCTTAAGAGGGCGATCGGGGGCGGATGCAGCGGCGGCAGGCTGTCGCTGGCGGAGCATTATGTGGAGAGAGGAAGAGGGAGGAGGGAGAATTCTTGGGTGTTGTGCCCCCCTGCTGCTGCCGGGATGCGGTGGTGGTGGTGGTGGTGGTGTTGGTGCGCTTGGCGATGCTGAGACGGACGGGAGGATGAGGTAAGGACAGCGGCTGACAGCGTTAGTCAGGCTGTGCTACGGTCAGTGTGCCGGAGTTGCAGACGCACCGAAGTGATTACAGCTGCCGAAGACTTGAAGCTGGAAGTCCGGGACGGGATGATGGGATGAGCTGGCGGGCGCTTGGGGAGTCTGCGACGGGAGGCGCGTCCTGTCTCAATGGGCGGTGGCAGATGGGAATTGAATGTGGTTGACGACTTGACCAGTGTCAAAGACTAGGGGAATCCCAGTGTACACAAGTCAAGGATGCACGTGTATGTTTAGAGCCTCGGCGTTGGAGAAAGGAATACGGAGGCGTCAGTTTGTCGCAATGTCTGACTAGAAGAAGACAAATTTGCCCTCCTTTTGCGTATGAATTGGTTAAGCGGAAGATGGAAAAGTTGTTGACGGGCAAACTGCTGATGACAAAGACGTGTAATTGGCAACCAAACAACCGTTGATGCTAGACGATAAGGGACTCAAGGGCAATTGCGTCTTTGTTCCTCACCTAACTTCTCCGATTGACGAAACTGGAGCGGACAACTGTTCGGACGCTTTCCCCGTTTCCGCCAGATGGGGCACCGTGGCACCCCCCGGCTCTGCAGGTACCCGGCATCGGCCGTCCCCTCGCTCAGGAGGCTGGGAGCCAGACATCGTCACTTGAGAGAGCATCGTATGGTCTCTGCAATTGACTTTGGTATCACTCTTGCAAGATTTTGGAGCACAGGCTATGAGATGCAGCAGTTCTGAACTCAACAAGGCGGATCTTGCTGTGGGGTGTACGAGTGACGGAATGACGTATGATGCCCCGGCAACAATGCTGTGTATCGATCTCAGATACCGAGAAGTTGGATACCTTATCCAACGACTGGAATCGCCCATTGATAAGATGTTGTTACTCTGTAGTTTTGCGGATCAATTTGAGTGAGCATCTGTGTGTGACAACTGTCGTGTCGCAAAGGTGTGACCGCACGCTAGGTCACCCTGAGGATTATAAATCAAAGCATCGGATACACCACAATATGCAGATGCAAGTTTTCAAGCTCGAAAAGACGCTTGAAGTCAAGATGATTGAAAGCCGCAGAACATCCTCTTCGATTGACACGCATCAATATGTGGCAGCCAGTCTATTGACAAAGCCTGAGTAGCACTGTCTATGATATGCGCGCAAAACCTAGAGTGGTATCAAATGTCGCAATTTGGGTGAACGCCCTCGTCCACCGTTCCGTAACCATTCCTCATGTAGTAGAAAAGAGCATCAATGAATATTTCCTGAACGCCGTGGTATGCAGGCCGCCGCGGACGCTGTCTGTCACCCATCCCAAGCAATGCGTACGTATTCGTTCGTGCACACTCGATCGTTCTTCAAGGTCCCTCGCCCGGCTTCTTGGCGTTGCAGCTGACGATCTTGACCTTGTCCGCAGACACCATCTGCCCGCCACTATCGAGCTTGAACTGGACATTCTTAATAAGAAAGGTCCAGACTTCGTCGCAGAACCGGTAGGTGCTGAGGGATCCCTGTGTAGTTGCAAAAAAAGAGTCAGCCATCCGATTTGCTTCGTACCGTGGAATGGGAATGGCGCAAGTCTCGAGAGGGCAGTTGCGACACCCAGGAATTCGGCTCGCAGCGCACTTACCTTGAAAGTCAGGCGAGCCTTGACGCTCTTCTGAAGAGCCTCTGTTATAGCCTGATCGAAGTTTGCCAAGATCTTCATCGCCAATTGCGGGTGAATGCGCTCTTCACTGATGAGATCATCGAGCATGTCTGTCAGCGCGAGGCCGATACTGCGGAGGAGCACGCGAGTTAGTCCATATAGCACGAAATGACTAGTATTACTAGTCTGATGGATGGCGCATGTACCTGCTACGGCGGTAAAGCTCGTAGAAAGATTGAGGTGCGGCTGCCATCGTGGAGATTTGTTCCTGATCTCCTTGGGGGCGGGCGGCGATTTGGGAGGTTGCGAGTGTGAAAGAGGCTAAGTTGTATTTATAATGGCCTTGTTTGAGGATATCCTTGGATTCGCGTTAGTCAGCTTTCGGGAAGTGGGTCACTTTCCTTGTTGCCTGCTGTCACACGCCAGCACCAAGGAGTATTACCTAATGCACTGAGCAACGGCCAATAACGCGTCATGTGACCTTACCGAATCTGGCTCTTGCCTTACCTCACTTCAGTTACCTTACCTCACTCGCTTGGCCTCGAGAGCTCGACGTAGCTGCAACCCCCCAGACCCTCGCCGTCAAACAACCAACATCCACGACCACCCACGGCAACGAAGAAACCGCCGAATCGAGCACGATGAGTCTCACGTATGGCCTGGGAGGCATTGGAGGCGCCCTCACCGTGGTGGGAGCTTGTACGAACCCCGACCCCTGCGATGATGTCGACACGATTTCGCGCGCGAGAACGCAATAGCTAACCAGAGCCCCCGTTTCTCAATAGACATGCTCTTCACCGGTTCGGGAGAGGCTTTCAACGTGGGCGAGTTCCTCGAGTCCATCTCGCCTTACACATGGGCGGACATGGGCATCGGCATGTGCATCGGTCTCTCCGTCGTAGGCGCGGCATGGTACGAATAACACCCTTCGCGACCCCTTCAACGATATGCATCATCGATATATGGCGGGGCTTTCGGACTCTAACGGGAACTTCCTATCTAGGGGTATCTTCATCACCGGATCCTCGATCCTCGGCGCAGGCGTCAAGGCCCCGCGCGTGCGAACCAAGAACTTGATCTCCATTATCTTCTGCGAGGTTGTCGCCATCTACGGCGTCATTATGGCCATCGTCTTCTCTGCCCAGCTCGAGCCCGCCGAGGGCAAGACTCTGTACGATGCCAACAGCTACTACACCGGATACGCCCTCTTTTGGGCAGGTATTACCGTCGGAATGTGCAACCTGATTTGCGGTGTTGCTGTCGGCATCAACGGTAGTGGAGCGGCGTTGGCCGATGCTGCCGACCCCACGCTGTACGTGTTCAGCTTGCCTTCGGAAAGGCTACGCAGTTATGCTAACTCTGTGGTAGTTTCGTCAAGATTCTCGTCGTCGAGATTTTCTCCTCCGTCCTCGGTCTTTTCGGTCTCATCGTGGGACTGTTGGTGGCCGGCAAGACGAACGGCTTCAAGGCAGAGTAACGAATTCCTAGCGGCAGGGAGGGAAAACAGGGGGAGAATATCACATACGGCATTACGAATGTCGAACTCGAACGATGTACAGTGAAGCACTGCATTGCACCAAGGCTTCTTGGGCTGGCGTTAATGGCATAAAGGCAGGGCGAGGACATCTTGTATTGTATACTACCAACGTATTATAGTCCCTCATCGAAGTGATTTCTGCGCGGCAAGCTATCCGAAAAACAACGACTATGGCAGTCAATTTGTAACGCTACGTGCTGCTCTCATTCTATGCATAACTCATTCCGCAAAGCGTTCCCAACTTGGGCATCCTCAAATCTCTACCCGAACATCGCCCATCAACAGTGCCTCCACCTTCGATCCCTTCTTCAAGGGCTCAGCGCCCTTTGGCAAAGCAAGTAGCGCATTGGCAGACCGCAAACTTCCTACCTTCGAGCTCCTTTGGCCGCCCGTGCTGCTTGCAGAGAGAACACCATCCTTGCCAACCATCACAACCGCTCGATGGTACTCCGGCCGCGCCTTGTCCAAGGTAAAGTCATGAGCAAGCGTCACTGGCACCTTGGGGAGGCCTGCCGGCACGATTCCGGAAAGCTTATGCAGCGCCGGAAGCACGAAGAGGTGGAACGTCACAAGAGCGGATGCCGGGTTACCAGGCAGCGAGAAGATGGTCTTGGTGACGCGCTCGCCGAGGTTTGACTTAACCGGCACCGTCGCGAAAGTCGTCGGCTTGCCAGGCTTCATGGCAACACGGCCGAAGTGGATCGTTCCGCCGAGGGAGCGCTCGATCGTCGGCTTGAGCAGGTCAAGCTCGCCCATCGAGACGCCACCAGTGGTGATGAGCAGGTCGGAGCGGCGCAGTCCCTCGCGCAAGTTCTCCTCCAGAGACCCGGGCTTATCGCGCGCGATGCCGAGGTCAACCACCTCGAAACCCCATTGCCGTGCGGCGGACATCAGCGTGATGCGGTTGGTGTCGCGGACTTCGCCCAGTCGCAGGCCACCCGGACGGTCCGGCTCGATGATCTCGTCGCCTGTGGATAGGACGCCGATGACGGGCCGCTTGTAGGTCTTCACCTGGGCGACACCGACGGCCGCCAGCAAGCCGATTTCGCCGCCCACGCCGGATATTTGCTCGCCTTTCTTGAGGATGGTCTCGCCCTCTTGGATATCGCTGCCGACCTCCCTGATGTTCTCGCCGGGCTTGACGCCGTCGGCCAGGATCTCGACCTCCTTCTCCTCTTTGTCGTCGTCCGTCTTGGACTTCAGGATGGTGTCTTCAACCATGATGACCGAGGTGGCTCCCGGAGGCAGCGGGGCTCCAGTCGTGATTCTGGCGATCTCTCCTTCCTTCAACGTCTTGGCTTCGCCGGGGGCGGCGTGGGATACTGCGGTTACGGGGAAGACGCCCTTCATGTTGCCGTCCTTCGGTACGACTACGGCATAGCCGTCGACTATGCTTGCGCGGAAGGCGGGTACGCTTTCTCTGGCTGTGACGTCCTCGGCCAATACCGAGTTAATCATGTTCACGCCGAGATCTGAGGTGACGATCTCGGCGTCAGGGGTGAAATCGTTGATGAGACGGAGAGCGTCATCGACTTCCAGCATCGGATAAGGCGACTCTCTATACCTGCGGGACGGGCCGAGGCTGGGGTCGTTGGAGAGGGGGTTATCGCCTGGTTTGGTGTGTCTGACCAGGCTTCCGTGTCCGTGTCCGTGGCCGTGGCCATGCTTATGATCATGACTATGGCCGTGGCCGTGGTTATGGCTGTGGTCGTGAGCGTGAGAATGGGAATGGGAATGCGTGTGGTCTTTCTGGGACGTCGTTACTGCCGGTGCGCCTTGTGAACTGATTCCAGCCTCGGATTCAAGTTTCTTAACACCGCCTTGATGGAGGAGCCTTGAATCCGCACCAGCGGCCTGGACGCAGGCATGGGGTAACGTCTTCAAGATAGCTTGGAGGTTCTCCTTGGCTCCCTTGGGTGATCCGGGGAGGGTTACGATGAGGGTCTTGTTTCGAACTCCTGCTACCGGCCTCGACATCATGGCAACTACGGAGGTCAGTATACCGCATTGTGATGTTTCAAGGTCACTTACATGGAGTGACTGCGAGAGAGGCAGCGAGCATTCCGTGAACTAGGCCCGGGGCAGGTTTGTGAATGAGAGCACTGACTGCCTTTATATGTGTTAAAAATCAGAAGGGATGGAATGTGAGAGAAACAGAAATACCTCAGGAGTGCTATCCGATTCAGCGAAACCGGTGCCACCCGTGGTGAGGATCAAGTTGACTCCGTCCTCAAGACCAACGTCTGCCCACAGCATGACCTGGCGCTGGATCTGAGGAACATGGTCTTGCACGATCTTGCTATCGGTTACGATCCATTTTCCACCACCTTCCTGCTCGATGACATCTTTCAGAACAAGCTCGGACTTATCGGTCGAAGGGTCCTTGGACGCTGTTGTCGAGACAATCAAGATGGCTACTTTGAGAGGGGTATCCATGATGACGGAGGATGAGTCGTGACCCCCGGTTCAAGTGAAGAAGACAACTTCAGATCTTGGTAGAAAATGAACCAGTATTATAAGCAATCGGATATCTCTGGATCACACCGTCAGAAACGTCCAAACTACTAAAACTGTTTGGCTGTACGCATAGTGACGTCGGAAGCTTCTGAGGTAGAGGAGCTAGGTACCTGCCGGAGGTGAAGCTCCCCCGCCTTAGTCAGCGATATCCCGCAGGGGCCCGCTTTGAACCACAGCTGTTGAAGTCCCCTGCAACTGCCTGACGCGAGTACGTACCGCGTCTTGAACTTTTTCCATATCAATTTCGACAGTCACTCATTGACGATCTCAAGGACGCCAGCCAGCACGCATGCAAGATGGTCCGAATCAAGGAGAGGTATCTTCTCGTTAACATCATTTATCCACCTGGAGCGTCGAAACAACAAGGGAGCAATGTACCGGATTTTGTGGTTATGCATCAACCGACGACGGGGCAGCTCACTCCCCAAGCACTTGTGAAGGCGCTGCGCGCTGAAGTCGCTTCACTCTTTGGTGATTTCGGATCCGGAGCGATCGAGGGGAACCTTCAAGGTGAGTGCGAAATGCTCGTCCTTCATATATGACCTCTCCGAATCCCGTGATGGACTCATTTCTCCATTTGAATAACTGCTAATCCTAAACAGTCAAATACCTCTCACCGGCAACTTCGACTTTCATCCTGAGAGTGAAAAGGGAGCACTATCGCATGGTCTGGGCGGCCTTGACTTTCATGGACCGTGTTCCTCTTAAGAACGGAGACGGCAAGCCGTGTACGTTCAGGGTGGTCAGAGTGAGTGGCACTATTCGAAAGGCCGAAGAGGAGGCAATCAGACAAGCCAGGCAACTTGTGCTTGCCGCCAAGGACTCCGTCGCAGCTGCGGCGGGTGGCGCGCTGCCATCGTTCAATGAAGGCAAGGCACAAGCTGCGGATACTGTCATGTTCGACGCATCTGACGTCTCGGATGACGAGAACATGGTCGAAGATGACGGATGAAGATGAATATCGACGGCGACCACGACGGGAACCAAAACGACGGACGAAGGGTATCATTTATTCTTGCGCAGTACTTTCACGCCACTGTCTGCCGGTATCGACATGTCGCCAAAGTCTGGGTCATAGTCGGCCATAGTCTGATCTGGCTCGGGAGCCGCAGGTTCCTGCTCTCCCTGCATCTTGGCCTGCTGCTCCTCCCACGCTTTCCGCTCGATCTCATCGTATTCGGCTTTGCGATCGATCCAGCGCTCCTGGATATCGCCAATTTCCATCATGGACGACTCGTTGCGCATGGCCACCTGCCACACGGTATCGTTGGCTCCCTCGGCACCTCCGAACACGTACCCTCCGGCCCTGTCTATTACCCTCAGAAGATGCATCATGCTCTTCTTGTCCTCGACAGCTAGCACCTCGAACCGGACCAGCCCATAACTCTCGATCATGTTTGCGACTGCCTCGTTCAGTCGGCCAAACTTGTCGTTGCGCATCACCGGCGATTCTTCTTCCAAGTAAGGGATTAGGTATGAGAGGTCGTCGACGTCGGTGTAATATTCGAGGTTGAACGGCAGGGAGTCATAGGAGGCGACCTTGTCGATCTTGGTCAGGACATTGATGTGTGGCATGTCCATCTGGAGCATGGCGCGGAGGGCCAGGAGTAGGTTGGAGATATAGAGCGACGGCTGCGTGAGGCAGAATGAGTCGGAGAGGTGGACGACGACGAGCTTGGGAAGAAATAGTCAGCAGAGGCAGCTTAGGGACTGGGCATCCGTGGGACTCACTCTGAATCCGAGCTTCTGCAGCTTGAAGAAAATGTTGCGCAAGGAGTTGTGATGTGTGTAGAGCTCGACCTGACCCGGGCAATCGAACAGAATGTAGTCATCTCCAAGCTCTTTCAGTCCTTCCTCAAGCCACTCAAAGTTGTGTTCCAGCTCCTCCAGAGCGTACAGGATGCCTCCGTTCGGGCCTAATCTGTCACCAGCCATGATATCCTCCAGTTTCACCAGGTCGCGGATGTCGAGGGCCTTTGGGTAGTTCGTGTGATCGTTTGCGGGGTCGAGGTTTACGACAGAGCATGCGCGGCCGATTGCGCCCATGAACTGGTGCACTAGGCGCATCTTGTTAGCAGGACCATGGAGTATGCGTTGGGAGGAAGCTAGCTTACTGCCATCGCAGTAGGTGCTCTTGCCGGAGCCCGGACTACCCAGGACAAGCTGCGCGAAGGGCATGTTTGAGTGTTTCCAGAATACCGAGTCCGAGTACGTGTTCAGGTCACGATTTCCCTATCGTTGAAAGCACGTGGTCTTGAGCGTGGCCTGCAGTGGCGGCCAAAATATTTCGAAGTCGGCGGGAAGTTTCTAGGCTGTCAGTGCCCCTCCATGTAGCATTACACAAGCAGCAGCCCACAACCAATCTTCAGAGGGTCTAGCGTCACATGCTGCATCGAGCCTGCTGAGCTTTCTTACGGCGTGGGGCGGCACTATCGCTCCTCGCTTGACCGCCCGTGCCCAACCGAATTCCAAGCTTCAAGAAGCTCGCACCCCACAGAGCTCTTTTTTTTCTCTTCTCTTCCATTCTTCTCCAACCACAGCTTTCCGGCTCGAGTCTCGTCTCAGCCACCAACGACCTTAAAATCCTCCTTTCTCCCTTTTTCCCACGTGCTGCTAGCCCCGGCCGACGCGCGTGCTCAACCATGTAATCTGGTCTTTTCTCGCGCGCGTTATGCTGCAACAACAACGATCCCAAAGTTGTGTCGTCGCAAATCGCAGCCGCAGCCTCAACACGCAGCAGCCATGTCGTCCGATATTTCGAGTGCCGCCCAGGCGGTCTCTGAAACCGTGTCGACCACGATGAACGCCTCTCCTGAGGTGCTTCCGTCCGCTTTCACGCGAGCGCAGGAGGTCGTCGCCGCCCAGGGCTCTTCCAGCTGGTTGGGTTTCTTTGGTCGGATGATCCTCGCCATACTGTCCCTGGTATCCTCGATCTTGTACTGGGCTATACGCATTGTCACAATCTCCATACCGACCTTGCTGTTCACCTTGTTTTCGACGAGCTGGACTGTCACGATGAACGCCACTACGTTGTACGGCCTCTCTGCTGCACTTGATTCTTCAAGCACGTGCTAACCCACTACAGGATAGTGATCATTGTCGCCCTCATATCTGCCATCAGTTGGGTGGTGCGCTATCGCATCCTGAACATGTACTCCCGACTTCCTCCAGAGCCTCAGAGGAAGGAGCCGGACGTTGATCTGTTCCCCGACACTCACGACGAAGGGAAGAAGGCTGGTCTCTCGAGCTACTTGGACGAGTTCCTCAGTGCCATCAAGATCTTTGGCTATCTGGAGCGACAGGTCTTCCACGAGTTGACCCGGAGCATGCAAACCCGCAAGCTTATTGCTGGCGAGACCTTCAACCTGGAAGAGGAGAAGGGGTTTTGCATCGTCGTTGACGGCCTCGTGGAGATCTTTGTCAAATCTGGCCGAAATGCCAGAAACTTGGGTTCAGACCACTACGACAGCTTCGGCACTGAGTCCGGCTACGCGGCGGAAGAGGACGAGACGTCGCCCGCGGGACAGAGATACCAGCTACTCACAGAGGTCCGCAACGGAGCCCCCATGTCTTCCTTGTTTTCTATCATGTCGTTGTTCACCGAAGACGTCAAGCTTCGATCGACAGACGACGATACCCCAGAGCCTACACGCAGCGCTGGGTTAGAGACCTCTGCCTTCCCGCGAGGCCCTGGAATGCGTCGCATGCCGTCAGATCCCGTGAGCCCTTTCCCGACGGGTCCTCAGTTCTCTGAAGACGGCGAGGAGAAGCCCGGGGTGAGGATTGAGGAGCCACCCAAACGATCCATCACACCGACACCTGCGCACGCTAGGATTCCACCCATCTCTCTTGACCACACGGGCAGCGCTCCTGGTAGTGTGCCTGGCAGCGCGCGTCATCCCAGGCGGCCCCCGCTTCAGAGTAGGGCGACATCTGGCTCAGCTCACCCCGACATCATTGCGAGGGCGACTGTGGACACAACGATTGCCATCATTCCGGCCAGCGCGTTTCGTCGACTGACCAAGGTCTATCCGAAGGCGACTTCTCATATCGTTCAAGTCATTCTCTCGCGTTTCCAAAGAATTACACTGGCGACTGCGTACAACTACCTTGGCCTGACTGGGGAGGTGCTTCAAACAGAGAAGAACATGCTCTCGTTTACCACCTGCCAACTGCCCAACATGCTCCGCGGTGATGCTCTGGAGCGCTTGAAGGAGAAGTTCAGCCGAGAGCGTGAGCGTGTTGACGGTGAAGTGGAAAGCAAAGGGATCGCTCTGCACAACGCCAACGCCCATCGCCGTCGCAAGTCGACCTCGACTCTGAGGAAGGATGCCGTGATGCACTCCATGAGCACCAAGGAGAGGTCATTTTCCCAGGTTGCCACAACAATCGCACCTCCACGGGAGCGTTCTTCTACGCACACACCGAGCCCGGGCGACCTGTTGGCCAATATTCAGTTTGCTCGCAGCGGTGGTCACCGACCGTCCAGCCACATCGATCAAGTTGCCGATGCTTTTCGTCAAGACGGCGTCACGAGCCCTCTTGCTCAGCGGGCCTTAGACCCATTCTCAACTCAGAAGCCCTCTCGCATCTCGATCGACGGTCGCGAGTCACTTGATGAGGACAATCTTTTCCGCCACTCCATTCTCGAATGCATGTTCAAGGCTATCGGACTTGGCAGCGGCGGCAGCGTATCGCGGGAGGCCGATTCAGTCGAGGGCTCCCCGAGACTGTTCTCGTATGACCAGCGTCGACAAAGGGCGGGCCTCGGCAGCAATGCGTTTGGCCTCATGGGACCATTTGAGGCGTCTGGTGATGGTGACACAGAGTCTCTTACCTCTGGAGGGTTCACCTTGAACACTCCGCCCAATGCCCACCTACTGGCCAACGACATGAAGGACGAGGTCGAGATCGTGTTCTTCCCCAAGGGGTCCGTGCTAGTAGAGCAAGGCGAGCGCAATCCTGGGCTGTACTATGTCATTGATGGGTTCCTCGACATCTGCACGACGAATGCAGATTCGTCTGCCGACATTTTGCACTCTTCCAGCAGGACTTCACTTCATGCGGACTACCTTGCTATGGATGGCTCAGCTGCACACTCCTCCGTCAACCTTCTCGGAGCTGGTCAGGCGGGGGATGCGAAGAAGAAGCAACCTGTTCGCCGCAGCGTCTCCCTCATCAAGCCCGGCGGACTCGCGGGCTACGTCGGCACAGTGTCTTCTTACCGATCTTTCATCGACGTTGTGGCCAAGACAGATGTCTATGTGGGCTTTCTTCCTCGCTTAGCACTCGAGAGAATTGTTGACCGATATCCCATCGTTCTCCTGACGATGGCCAAGCGACTCACAAGCCTTCTGCCCCGTCTCATTATGCACATCGACTTTGCTCTTGACTGGGAGCAGGTTGATGCGGGTCAGGTCATCTTTCACGAAGGAGACGAGAGTGAAGCTATCCACATCGTTCTCAACGGTCGAATGCGTCTTGTACAAGAGAAGAAGGATGGTGGTGTCAGTGTCCGGGCAGAGTTTGGTCAAGGCGAGAGTATTGGAGAATTGGAGGTGCTCACGGAGTCTGCTCGTCCTGGAACGCTACACGCCATCCGACAGACCGAGCTTGTCAAGTTCCCACGGACGCTTTTCAACAGTCTCGCCCAGGAACACCCCAACATCACCATCAAGATCTCCAAGATCATCGCGTCTCGCATGCGAAATCTTGTCAATGATCCATCTCAGTTGCTTTCCAAAGAGGCGGGTGGGGTGAATTTTATCAGCAAGGGTTCATCGTCACTCAACCTGAGGACTGTTGCCATCTTGCCGGTAACGTCTGGTGTCCCCGTCGTCGAGTTTGGCAACCGGTTGATGAATGCTCTCGCTCAAGTCGGCCCTGCAAATGGAGCGACCTCTCTCAACCAGTCGGCTATTCTCAACCATCTCGGCAAGCATGCATTCAATAAGATGGGAAAACTCAAGCTTTCTCAGTACCTGGCTGATTTGGAGGAGAAGTACGGCCTTGTCGTCTACGTCGCAGGTAAGACACTTTTCACACTCGTCTCTTATCACTACTCTCTGTCCTACATGATGAACAAACCCTGTTTCCCGAGGCAAGACCGCTGAAGGCCAAACATTAACTCTAATTTTTTCCTGATTGGACATCACTTCTTCTCTACTTTTCTGTCGGATCTGCGCAATGGACATTGCTAACACGTATGATCAGATACCAACGTCAATTCTCCATGGACTCAGACCTGCATCACGCAGGCCGACTGCATTCTTCTCGCAGGCCTTGCTGATGGCTCCCCTGAAATCGGGGAGTACGAACGGTTCATGCTGGGAATGAAGTCCACCGCGAGAAAGATCCTGGTTCTTCTCCACGGCGAGCGGTACTCTCCCTCTGGGTTGACCAGAGCTTGGCTCAGAAACCGCATGTGGATTAATGGCGGACACTACCACGTTCAAATGCCCATCGGTGCCAACATGATGCCGGTGCACCCGCCTTCGAAGAGGACCAGTACAACACTGAAGGAGAGGGTTCAAATCATTCAAGCAGAGATCCAGAAGTTCACTTCCAGGAAGTCCCGCCACAGCCCTTTTTACTCCCCGGATGCACCGTACAAGGGCGACTTCCACCGTCTCGCGCGACGCCTCTGTGGCAAGTCTGTCGGCCTTGTGTTGGGCGGTGGCGGAGCCAGAGGCATTACGCAGATTGGCATCATTCAAGCCATGGAAGAGGCTGGCATTCCCATCGACGTTGTGGGCGGCACCTCAATAGGATCCTTCATCGGCGCCCTGTATGCCCGCCATGCAGACGTTGTCCCCATCTTCGGTCTAGCCAAGAAGTTTTCTGGTCGCATGGCCAGCATGTGGCGCTTCGCTCTTGACCTCACCTATCCCACGGCGTCGTACACGACTGGACATGAGTTCAATCGTGGCATCTTCAAGACGTTTGGTAAAACTCAGATTGAAGACTTCTGGCTCGAATACTACTGCAACACCACGAACATCAGCAAGAGTAGAATAGAGTACCACACCAGCGGCTACGCCTGGAGGTACATCAGAGCATCCATGTCACTGGCTGGCTTGCTTCCGCCTTTGTGTGACGAAGGCAGCATGCTTCTGGACGGTGGCTACATTGACAACCTCACTGTCTCACACATGAAGAGATTAGGAGTGGACACCATCTTTGCAGTGGACGTCGGCTCCCTTGACGACGACACCCCACAGGCTTACGGTGATTCGCTGTCCGGCGTGTGGGCGTTCTGGAACAGGTGGAACCCGTTCTCGGGAACGCCCAATCCTCCGACGCTGGCCGAGATCCAAGCCAGGCTAGCCTACGTGTCAAGCGTCGACGCCCTTGAACGAGCGAAGACGATGGCTGGCTGCTTCTACATGCGGCCGCCGATCGATGACTACGGTACGCTCGACTTTGGCAAGTTTGACGAGTTGTACCAGATGGGATATAAATATGGACAGGAGTTTTTGCAGAAGCTTAGAGACGATGGTGTCTTGCCTCTCATGGAGGAGACCGAGGCCAAGAAAGCGATGCGGAGGACGATGGCACCGAGAAGAGCCAGCATATAGTACCTCACGGTAGACGACAGACTTTAGACGTTCGATACGAGCGTGAAATGATACCACCCCAGCGTTTACGAGCATTCAATTTCATCCCATCGTCATCTGCGATTGCCCTCAAGCGGGCGTCGTCGGGTCAGACCGCTAAGTTCAGGGTCCAATGGGAAATCAGGGGACTGCTTGCGTCAAGCAACGTGGCCGAGACAAACACCATTCTCAACGGCCATATCGGGGCGTTGGGTGGTCTCATGATGCTTTGACAATTGGCCCTGGGGCTGTGAGCTAAAGCACTGGCCTCGATGTTTCTCGGGAGCTTTGGCCAGATCGAGACCCCTGACGTCAACATCTTGGCGAGGAGGGCGGCTGCATTCTTTTCTGGGCCGGGGCCCATATGACATCATGCAGCAGCTCCAGCGGGCATGACGACAAGCTTCGCCCGGAGCCCAATGGGGGAGCTCCCGAGACCCCGGCAATCGCCATATCGGATGTCAGCTAATGATGCGGGGGAATGCCAGCGGTGAGGGCAGCGAGGGGTCCTGATGGCAAATAAATCTCTGGTGCCCATCCAACACCGGACTTGTCTTTGATAGTCTGGTGGAAAGTGCAAAAGCGGTGCTGAAATTGCAACCCTCAAAGAAACCTCGACTACACCAACTTCCTTTGCCCTTGCATAACACTGTCTCGATCTGTTCCTCCGTTCCTGGACGAACGCAACGCCACCTGCAATCCTTCAAGCTACATATTACTTTTGCCAATCCCCCGCGGCGGCACAGCAACTTCAACGGCTCGCCTTCTCTTGGCACTAGAGACACCGACACAAACGCCGTCAAACGTTCGAGCTCAGCTAGAGCAAATACATAAAACAATTACTCCACATCAAAACACAACAAGAAAAGAAGCACAAAATGGTCAAGGTCAAGCCCGGAAAGCTCCTCCCTCCCGATCCCAGACCATGGACAGCGGACCCGGAAAGCCGAAAAGCGCGGAAAGAAATGGAAAAAGAAGCCGGCGGCTTCGACTGGGGCCAGGCTATCGCCCTCGGCATGATCGGCGCCACGGTCGTCTTCGGAATCGACAAGTCGCTCAAGAAGTGCGAGGAAAGGCACGAAGAGGAGGACAGGCGCGAGGAGAGACGCCGGGAGCGGGATTCGAGGTCGAGACCCCGGCGGAGCAGCCAGAGCGTCGCGGGCTCCGCCAGGACCTCGACGAGAGACCGGTATGGCCGGACAGACCAGAGCGTGATGGGTTCCACGGCGAGGGCGCCCTCGCGATACAGCCGGGACGAGAGGGTTTATTACGAGGACGACGACGAGGAGTATTGGGATCGGTATTACGAGGAGAAAGAGGCTGCGCGGGCTGCGAGGGATTACAGCCGCGAGCCTGCGCGCGCGCCGGAGTCGATCAAGGGGTTGGGCAGCGTGAGGGATCAGCGCGAGTACGAGCGCTCTGTTGATCAGTTTGATCGCGACTATGGGTACGGGAGGACGTATGATGATCGCAAGCGCAGTCGCAGCAACCCGGCTTCGCGATCCAGGGGATATTCGAACTGGTAAAGGAAGATATCAGTGACGTCCGTTTGCGCGGCAAACGGGCTTGTACTACCACCACACAACACTACGACATTATGACAGACAACATCGAAGCATCAACGGAGCATAGCATATGATTACACAACCAAAGAAAATTGAACCATCATGAAAGAGGGATTTACGAAAGACATGAAAAGAATACAAGGCGTCATTTAGGGAAGATTTGGTTTTAGTTGCATCGTATCGTCTACCATATCTATGTAGTCAAGAAACAGTATGCACATATCTCATCATCTATGTCTCTCTACTGCCCACCGAGTTCCTTCTCAGTCGCAGCGACCAAAATGTCAAATGCCTTCTTGACGTGCTCCTCCTCAATGACCTGGCTACTACCAGTGCACAAACGAATCGCATACGTCCCGTGCAGCGTCGTAGGCGTCAGATAAATCACTCCCTCACCATTAATCCCCTCCAAGACAGCCTCCGTCACCTTATTCCTCTCCTCCAGGCTCGCGCCCTTCTTTCCACACGTGAAGACCACCAGCGCGAACCGCGGCCCGGTCACGACCTCGAAGAGGTCGGACCGTTCCCGGAGCATCTCCGCGAACCGCTCGCCGAGCCCGATCCCGCGGTTCAGGTGCGCGCGGATGCCGCTGGCGCCGTAGGCCCTTAGCACGAACCACAGCTTCAGGCTGCGGAAGCGGCGGCCCAGCGGGATCTGCCAGTCGCGGTAGTCCGTCACCAGGCCGGCCTCGGAGAACTGGTTGCGCAGGTAGGCCGGCTTGATGCTCAGGCTCTCGACGAGCCAGGCGCGGTCGCGCGTCCAGAGGGCCGAGCAGTCGAAGTTGGTCAGCATCCACTTGTGCGGGTTCACGTTGAAGGAGTGGAAGGCGGAGAGGGGCTCCGTCAGGTGGGCGTGCTCGGGCAGCATCAGGGCCGAGCCGGCGTAGGCCGCGTCGACGTGCACCCAGACCTTGTCCCCGTCGGAGGAGAGGGCCTCGCGGATGCCGGGGAAGTCGTCGATCGCGCAGGTGTCGGTCGTGCCGAGGGTCGCGGTGAGGTAGAAGGGCTCGAGGCCCTTGGCGCGGAGGGCGGCGATGGTGGACTGGAGGGCGGGGCCGGACATGGCGTAGCCGGCGGAGGCGGGGGCGGGGACGGTGGCGAAGCGGACGCCGAGGACCTGGGCGGCCTTCTTGGTGGAGGAGTGGGCGGCCTCGGAGCCGAGGGCGACGAGCTTGGAGCGCAGGCGCCAGGTCTCGTCCTCCTTCTCCTCCGAGTCGGCGGGGAGGTGGGCGGTGGCCTGGCGGAGGAACTTGTCGCGGGCGGCGACCATGACGGTGAGGATGGCCTCGGAGGCGGTGCCGTGGAGGACGCCGCCGCCGCGGGTGGGGGCGGTGGAGAGGTAGCAGTCCGGCAGGGCGAGGAGCTTGGCGAGCCAGTCGAGGACGATGGTCTCGAGCTCGGTGACGGCCGGGGAGCAGATCCAGTTGAAGTGGGCGCCGTTGAAGGCGTTGGAGTAGAGCTCGGCGAGCATGGCCGGGTAGGAGGAGGAGCAGGGGAAGAAGGCGTGGAAGGAGGGGGACTGCCAGTGGGTGATGCCGGGGACGATGTGGGATTGGAGGTCGGCGTGGATGGCGGACCATGGCTCCGGGGCCTCCGGGGCGGAGGGCGGGAGGAGGGGCCGGAGGTAGCCCGGGGTCACGGAGGGGAGGACCTTGGGCTGGGAGGCGATTGTGTCATAGTACTTTGTGACTGCGGCGGCTTGTTAGTCTGGGTGGGAGATGTGTGGGTTGGGGAGGGGTGTTACTGTCTTCCACGACCTCCTGGGCCGCGGTGCGGAACTCGGAAGAGTCCATCTTGAGGGGATCTTGGATGTAATGTCTATGGAGAAGTGAAGTTCTGTATTCGGTTTGAACGGGTCCCTCGGCCGCCGCGGACTGAAAGTTGAGGTTGAGGGTGAGAAGTATTTATGTTGGCACTAGCTCACATAGAAAAAAAAAAGTGTGTGAAAAAAGACACATGAGATGAAGTCAATTGCGTCTGCCCCTCCACCCCTCCATGAAAGATAGCACCGACTCTGGAGCCCAAGTTACATGCTTCCCCATCCTTCGATACCCCACCTCTCCCGCCGCGACCCCGATATTCGGTGGTGGGTACGAGAGAACCAGCTTTGTCATTCGTAGAAGTCTAAACTGTCGCGCGGGAGAGACGTCAAGGGTCTCTTCGGAACGGCCTCGGAAGCCTCGGAAGGCGGTTCCGGGATGGGTCTGGATGCAGCTTGTCAATTGACGAAAGGGCGTATAATTGACATCGCGAGACGAAGAAGGAGGTGATGTGCTTTTGAATCATTTTATGCCCTAGATTGGCAGGTGGCCCCGGTCAAGCGGACGGACTGACTGTCTCGGAAGGTCGTGATGCCAGCCGAACAGAGAGGTGTTGTGAGATGAGCATGACCTCAAATCTAGTTTGAGTACACTTCGATGAATTTGGGCAAATAGACCTTTGCCAATAAAGTAATATTTTTCTATTTCATCTGATTACCTGAAGAAAATACTCAGATTTAACGTTAATCCAATACTATCACATTGATTTGGTCACATCAAGCACATGGCACCAAGTCTCGTCCTCAACCCTCACATACACGCTCAATCGCACTCAAACATCTTGGTCGTGCTGACGTTGATCCTGCTCCAGCTCCTCCTCCGCACAAGACAGTCCCAGAACGTCAACGGCCAGTAGACGTGATACAGCCACCACGCCGGCAACGGATCCCACACCTCGAACGTGCCGTCTTTCCAGAGCAGCACGTGCTCCGCGAATTCCCTGACCGAGCGGACATACCCCACCAGCGAGAGCCGCAGGAGAAGCAGCCGCAGCGTCGGGAGCAGGAGGAGCGTGACCAGGTCGTGCCCGATCCAATAATACCTCCCGGGACGCCTTGGCACGACCACCTCCTCCGCATCCGGCCCCGCCTCCGCCCCGTCCAGCACGGAGAGATACTGCCCCACCAGTTCCGGCGTGTCCCCGAACAGCGCGACCGCCGTGTGCGCCCGCGGGTTGCACTCGATCGGGTACAGACCCACGTCCTCCGGCCGGCTGACCTTGGCCATGGCGACGTCCTCCTCGCGGACCATGAAGTCGAAGCTCAGGTGTCCCGTGAAATCGCCACCGAAGGACGCGGCCTGCGCCTTTGTAAACGCCAGCATCGCCCGCGAGAGCGACGACTCGGCCGGCAGCGCGGCGTAGTGCATTAGCAACTCGGCGGATTCGCACGCGACGAAGGCCTTCACCTCGCCGCGGACGACGAGCGAGTGCGTGCAGAACTCGCGGCCGCGGATGAATTCCTGCAGCAGCCAGGGCTCCTTGTCCGACATGCCGAGCCACTCGAGGCGGTAGACGAAGTCGTACGTCTGCTTCTCCGTCGGGAGGGGCAGGAGCGTCATGTCGGCGCGGCCCCTGTCGTTGACGCCGACCGCCTTTGCTATGAAACGTTTTTGGTTCGGCTCGTGTTTCTCGTCGTCGGATGATGATGACGGTTTGTGCGACAGCCCCGCGGCGTCCTCGAGCGCGGAGAGCATCTCGTTGCGGCTCGTGACGAGGTACGACTCAGGAACCCTCAGTCCGACGTCCCGCGTGTGGTCCATGAAGGAGTCCTTCTCGTGGAGGATGCGGGTGCGGGCGACGTCGAACTGGATGGCCTTGCAGGCCGTCCGGGCCTCGATGACCTCCTTGACGACGCCATCCTCCACGGCGGACCCGACGCCCGAGCAGCTCACCCACAGATCCACCCGTTCCGTCTGGACGATCTTCAGGATGGAGTCGAGGTACGGGTCGCCTCCGCCGCTGCTCCGGCTCGGGCGGGCGAGCACGTGGTAGGCGGACAGGGCGCGGGATCTGCTGCCGCAGGCGTTGGGGGAGAAGTCGGCGCCTACGACGCGGTGACCGGCGCGGTGGAACAGGCGTGCGAGGACGAGACCCTTCGTCATACCGACGCCCGTGACGAGGATCGTTCGGCGAGGGTCGGGATTGGGGACCGGGAGGCTGGCCCGGCCGGGGCGCAGGCGGTTGTAGACATAGCACCAAAACAGGATTGTGGTGTCGAGCGGGAGGAAGAAGAGGCTGAGAGCGATAAGGGATAGGTTCTTCAAGATCTGCCCGAAAGGGTCCGGGGATGCGGCGGCGGGTGTCATTGTGTGGCTCTCGCCCGCGCGATTTTGAGACGGGGGGAAAGAACCTGAACTAGCTGAGGCCGAGCACTAGCCCCGACGTCTCACCAAGCGGACACGACACTGGGAAAATCAAAATAGTTCGATTGAAGCTGAAGATGAGACGGTTCGTGGGGGCAGGGGGAGGGACGACTAGTGAGCACTGAGCACGAGTTTGAGGTCGGACAAGAGGACGGGAGCACCTCTTGGGATGAAACAACCTTTCTCTAGCTGCTTCGTCTCAGGAAACACAACGGCTGAGGGAAAGGATGTCGAAGTAAAGAAGAGGGTATGGAAGAAAAAGACGCGCTGGACGCGCCGTCTGCGAAGGTTTACGTCCGAAGGGCCCGAGACTGCGAGGCACCGCCCACTTGGGCAAGAGAATACGTCATGGACTCGGCTCTGTACAACTCAAGGGAGCGCGTAAACGAAGGTCTCACTGCGCTTGTTATGTGCGACATTCTTTCGTTTAATTCCAGCTGAGCGGCTGATGAGACGGTGACGAAATCCTATTCTGGGATCATTTTGGGACATCGGTTCCCGGTGAGGTCTTGGGAGAATACGCGCTTTTGTGTAGCTTGGCGAGAGAGAGTTTTGTTCCGCAGAGCGTTACTTGCGTATGGTTCGAGATATTGAAGATGATTGATGGATGGGCGGGACGGGACTGCAGGTAACGCTATCCGAACCCCGAAAAGGGTTATCCTGATAAATGCATACGTTTCATAATGGACTATTACGCTTCCCCTATTCTCCTAACCGATATTCTCCCTCTCCAATGCCTTACGAGGAAACATCTCGCGATGGTGGCTCCAGCGCAATCTCCCCCGCATAAAATATCATTTGAGATGATCTTCTCGGGCAATTTAAAGCGGAAGCGATCAGCATTGAACCAGAAATAGGTTCGCCGGTTCACAGCCCCGACGAACATGATCGGTCGGGAGATCTTCCTTTTGGCTGAACTCTCGACTCCTGAAGCGAATTCGAACATCACCCTTGCGCCGCGACCTCACCGACGACGTCGATGATTCCCCCTGAATCCGTGTGGCTGACTTTTGACGTCTAGGAGGGTATGACGGCCTTTGGCTTGAGTGTGTATCACGACTTGGGACTAGAGTGGTGGTGTTTGTGATCATGCTTGTATTCAATACTATTGAGTCTCCAGCGTTTGCGCACAACTATGGTATCATTACTCATTAGAGTCATTAACAATAAGCCCCCATGCGCCGCCCGGGCTCTGTCTCGTCCCGGGCACCAAAGGAGCGTCCACGCCGGAAGGGTATCCCATCAAGTCTAATCCGTATCCTGTTCCTGCGCCTGTATATCCCAATATTCCAATGGCGATCCCGTGTATCCAAAACCCCGGTTTTAAAACTCCTATCCAATAATTCGCGGTCTGAGAGCGTGTAAGTGGGCTACGCGACGGCAATGGCGGCAACGATGGAGTCCAGAGCCGAGCTGTGAGTCGGGCCGGAGACGCCCTGGACGGGGCCCGACCAGACAACGCCGAGCTTGCCCTGGCCGTCGCGGTTCTTGGACCAGTTGCTGTCGGCGTTCTTGATGAGAAAGGTCTTGAAGTCGTCCGAAGGGGCGGCGGCGTGAAGGTATCGCAGGTTGCGGTTGAAGATACCCTTGAACTGGTTTCCGTCGGAACCGCAGTTGGGCTCGCACGTGTCGTGCAGAATGCCGTTGTCGTCGGTCAGGGCCTTGATGGCGGCCTTGGCGATGTTGGTGGCATCCGTCAGGACGGACTTGTCGCCCGTGGCACGGCTGAGCTCGACGAGGCCGCCGAGGACGACGCCCTGGTTGTAAGACCAGACGTTGGCGCCGTTGTTCTTGCAGTTGCTGTCAAGGCCGTCGTTGATGGTGCCATCACCGTTGATCATGCCGCTGGCCTTGAACCACGCCCACTGAGACTGTGCAATGTTGAGGTAGTCTTTGTTGGTGGGTTCGCGGTTGGCGAGGGCGGCGGCGACCGAGAGGTAGAGCTCGTTGGCGATGGCCGCGACGTACTTGCGGTCCTTGTTCCACCAGATGCCGCCGTTGCAGTTTGTGCCAGTGCCGGTCTGCATGTCGGCGAAGATACGCTTGGCCATGTCGAGGTAGTCCGAATCTGTAGTCACATCATACGCTCGGATCAGGCCGAGCGCCCACCAGCCCTCGTCGTCGTAAAACTCGTTGATGAAGTTGGGAAAGCCCTGAGCGCTCATCTGGCGGCCCCTAATGGTGGGGTAGTCGCGCTTGGAGATGGCGTATGAAGATGTGACGAGGCCGGCCGCATTCATCGATTTGGAGACGGATGCTGTGGTCTTCTGGGCCTGGTTGAAGGTGTTGCTCAGGATACCGCCAATGTTGAGCTGGTTGGCGACGTCGCGGTTGAGATCAGCAAAGTCGGCGAGGGTTGTGAAGGCGTTCGCGCTGTTCCACCAGGCGTTGTCCCAAAGACCGGTACCGACGCTGTACCATGTGTTCTGGAGGGTGGTGATGGCGGCGGCGGCGTTGTTGGTGTAAGTGGCAGCGTCTGCTCTTTGGGTGATGGGGCGAGTAGACATGAGGAAGACTGTAGCGCGAGCAGCCAAGCTGCCGAGGTTGGCGACCATGTTGGCGATTATTAAGTATATAGAGGTGAGTACTGAGTCGAAACCTGTTGGTGATTCCCCTTCTCTTCTGGTGCTGGAGAGGTGGGAGTGGAGGAAGAGGATATAAGTATTAACTGCGATGGCGAGAACGATGAGACGCCAAAACCGGGGGAGGAGGGCCGGGATGTTAAATATATCAGGAGTGTACGAGGATTTCGGTCCATGTGCCCCTTGTCCTTCTTTCCTCCGAACAGGTGGACCGGCACAAGAACAATGGAGCGGGCGATGGAGCGGGTGATGGAGCGGGTGGGATGGAGGGTGCGGACAAGGCGACGAGGAGGGACAACGAGAACGACGCTGATCCTGGCCGCCAATCTTCTGGGCGCAGGAATTCCGAAGCGGTGGGAAGTTGGAGCTGGCGTTGGCGTTGGATTGGGAGCCGGATTTGGAAGTGGTGATGGAGCAACAAGATTCAAAGCAGGAAGAAGCGGAATCGTCAGCGACATGAAGATGGGGAAAAGCAGAGGATAAGCAGCAGCAGGAGCTGGCGCAGCTGGCGCTATGCTCCGAATCCTGTGAAGATGACGGCGCCATGATCCTCTTGGGCAGCGTCTTCTCTCGCAGCGTGGAAACAAGCACAAAACAAAACAAGGCTTCATCTGAAGTTGACATGAGGAGCTGTTGGTCTCTCGTCGAGCGGGAACCAGTGCCAGCACCAGCGCCAACGCCAACGCATCGCATGCCGCACGCTGCGCCCTGACAGGGGCCACCCAGAGGACAAGGACGACGATCACAGTCAGGGGTCGGACTGGAAGGAGGTGGTGTCCCTGGGTCATGGGTGTTGCAGTTGCAGTTGCAGTTGGGAGAATGGGATGAGATCATGGCGAGAACGGTAAAGCGCGAGGCCGCGGGAGTCCTTGCGGTTGCTATCCCACAGTCAGAGCTGGCCGTATGTGTACGGATAGACAGGCAAAAGAGTAAAAGGGGTTCAGAATGTGAAGATGCTGGTCCTGGCCCTGGTGTTGCCCCGGTAAGCGCCGTCTTTCATTGGGAGAAGTTCGAAGGAGAAGAGGGTCGACCGCGAGCTTGGAAGCTGGGCTTTTCGTGACTGGCGGTCGATGGTGTTTCAGACAAGATTGTCGTTATGCTGTGTTGGCCGACCAAGAGGCGTTTTGGCTGCCAAGCTGCCATGCCATGGCGCCCCTACCGCCCAATGCCCAATGAAGTGTCCAGTTTCTGCTGAAAATTGGAGGTCGCAGACAATAAGCGAGAGGCACGTACCTCTTATCGAGCGATAAGGCACTTCTGACGAACCCGTAGATCGGTATCCGGACCTTAGCCTCAGGCGCTATGGCCAGGGGCTTTAAGGGCTTTTCATCAACCTCGACCCCTAACAGGGAGCCCCATCACCCCCTAACGGGAAATGTGAACAGCGCACTGCCACGTGCGGGTCCGTCCTTCGTCGTCCAGTCCAGTGTCCATCCACCTGAGGCTACGAATGTGGAAAGGTACGTATCTTTTCTCTGACCCCCCCACGAAAGCAGGCTGAGAAAAATCTCCTAAAATCTCAAAGATACGTATTCTCGACGTTGCATTCAACAAGACCCTCCTGATGCGATGGGATGTCGCAGTTGCATCTGCACACCTTCGACTCTCACTGCCGTGATCTCTCCCCATGATCCAGACTCACATTCTGCTCGGTACAACACTCAGCACTTTGTTCATCCTCCCCGTCATCCTACAGCACCGCAGCCCTGTTCTCGCCTGGCATCGCCTAATGGATATTCTCCTCGACGTACCATCGTCCTGGGATCATCGACCTTCTCAACAATGACTGGATCTTGATCCCGAACCGCAGACCGACTATTGGCATCGGGCATGACGTTGGTGATGCAACAAGCAGTCAGCTTGACTCGACCTGACTCTTTTACGAGAGTACCTTTGATATGCACACGGTCAAGTGCATGCCATGCTTGATGATGGCAAACTCGGCAAACAATCAGGGTCATCCATCTTCGACTCAGCACCACCGACAACTCCAAGAACCATGGCCCCGGCGTCCGTGTCTCCGATTCGACGCTTGACAGCAGCTTATTTCCCACGGCAGCGGCGCAAGCGGCTTCTCAATGCGGTGGGGAAGCGAAGCGGACCGGGAAGAATTTTTCTTTTTTGTTCTTCTCCTGAAGGTCAGGGACGGGACGGGGTCGAGACGTTGCCAGGGCTCGCTTTGTTTCGAGGACCTGAACAAGATTACCTCGACATGCGGAACACCAAAACCTGCCCGCAGAGACACCAGAAGCATCAGTGCCATCCCGGCTCTGGGAGGTGGCTGACAACCTTCCAATATCTGACAGCGGGGGGAGGGGCTGTTCAACCGCCGGGATCTCTCCTGGCGGACAGCACTGACCGACAGCCAGAAATGGTCGGAATTCCTGATCATTCTTTTGCATCACGATGACTCCCTTCTGCTCAGGATGACTTGAGTTCTTCTCGCTTTTCGAATCATCGTTCTGGACGTGGCGAGGTTGCAATATTGGCAGCCTGGTGACCCACGCACGCGAACGGCGGCGATGCTACTGCGATGAGGATCACGAATTAGCCTCGATGGAACCTTGACCTTGCCCTATGGGTGACGATCTCTACGACAAAGGGCATCACTCCTTGGAGAGGAGCCATCCACCTGAAGTCCTTCGTCTAGCCTGGCCAAAAATCGGGGCGTCTATTCGATGACTGACGGTCCAGCCTCCTCCAGGCAGCAGTTGAAGTCTTGGGGATGCTGCCCAACTTGCTCACCGCCGTCGCCATGACGATGCAATTGTCGTCAGCATATCTGTACACCTCACCGAGCGCAGGATTCGCGGGGATATGGTTACACGATCCATCACCACTGATCTACAGCACAGAGACAATGATGCGCCGCACCAGCCTCACCCGTCGCTGCAGGTGATTTCTCACTCGCCAGAGGCTCTAGGGCCAGGCACAGCTCCAATGGCGCGCACATGGAGCAGCCCTACCAGTGGTCATAGTAGCACAGAGGACGCATACGACTGACGATCCGTTGCCAGGAGTGGCCTAGTTGCTGCTTACTGCCCACTCAAACTTGGTAGCTGCATGTCTAGCCAGCTCAGCAGCAATCCACGGCATATCAGCATTGTAAATCCCGCGACCGCCTAGTGCTCGGCACTCTCAACTTACATGCATCTGGGCAGTGCAATTCTGCGCAAACGTATGGACTCGTTACGGCCGGCCGAGGCAAGAATCTTCCGACGGCCAAAATCACCTTTCCAACGGTCAAATGCGACGACCGAATGACGAAACTCTCTGAGTCGGTCTCGAGCCTGCGCATCTGAAGTGGTTGCGCAACGAAGACTCAGCCGTGTTCCGAGTGTGACCATCTCTAGGGCCGGCCCTGTTACCCGGCCGAGACGAACAAGAGCCAATCTTTGTGCGATTCCGACACGAGCAAAACACTCGAAACCAAACTGCGCAGCTGAAGAGAGTCTATCGCGGTGCTACAATGCTACCATGCATCTCAATACCACCCACTAACACGAAGTATTGACACGCAACTGCTTGCGAATCGTCGCGCAATATTGCCCAATATTGAGTGCTTTCCGACGCGAGAATCGATAGATACTGTTCGAGGTCGAGCAATTGAAACTTCGATTTTCCGGGTAAACGATCGACACGAGATGGCGATAACAGATCCCACCTTTATGCGACAACCCAAGTCTGAACCAGATCGCAGGCCCAAACACGCCCCTGGACTCCTGGAAACGCTCACACGCGGCTTGGTGTTCCGGTCGGGCTTATCGAAAACGCAGCCACGGCACACTGTATTCTGTCTTTGACAATCGTGAAACGGACATTGATCTGCTCGTGCATCTCCGATCACTCAGCTTTCCATCTTTATTGAACTCCGGGTCTCCGGCACGGCCAAGTCTCACGCGCAATGTTTCTGGAAAAGCAAGTCTTTGACAGAAATGTATTAACAATTATTCCCTGTGTACCACGTCTCTACATGATCTCCAACCGCAACGCGTCATACTGCACGTATATGGCCTCCGTCAAGACCGCGCTCTCGTAGTTCTTGGCTCCGTACGGCAGGCTCAGGACGATCTCGTTCTCGCCGGCCTTGAGCAGCTTCGAGTCGAACACAAACTTATTGGCAATGTTGTAGCAGATGACGGCCGATCGCACGGCGCACGAGCTGCTGTGGTGGTAGGGAATCACCCACGGCTCCAGATCCTTGCCGTTGACGTTGACCGTGTACTTCAGGTTGGAGTGAGGCTCGCTGGCGTTGAAGACGTCTGTATTTCCCGCCGCCGTCTTCGCGCCCGCGAGCTGCACGGTAAAGGTCGCGTACCGCTTCCAGTCCACCTGTGCCTGCTCCAGATCAAACACCAGCGTCCAGTTGTTGACGTTGCCGTCGCCGATGTACATCTCGGGGCGGATCGAGTTGCCCTTGCCTCCGAAGACGGACCAGTGGACGTAGTTGAGGTCCTGGGCGATATCGTCCTCGCCGACCTTGAAGCGCACGCCGTCGGGGAACTCGTTGGGGAAGTCGTACCGCGCCCAGTAGATGCGGTACTCCTCCGGCTTCAGCGGCTTCGTCTCGTCGCGGACGTACCCGTGGCGGTATTCGCCCGAGCTCTTGTCCGGCGTGCCGACGCGGAACACCTCCGTGCCGGCCGTCTCCTCGCGCCAGCGCGCATGCGTCGTCTGCACCTTGCCGGCGACGACTTGCACGTCCTCCTTGATGTACTGTCCGAAGATGCCGTCCGCGTAGATGGTCAACCGGTAGGTGCCCTCCTTGACGCGGGGGATGGTCGCGTAGCCCTCGGCGTCGATGTCGGTCCAGTACTGGTACGCCTTGGTGTCGAAGACGTTGTCCTGGAAATCGACTCCGTTCTGCGCCAGCACGGCGATGGGCTTCTTGGCGCCCTGCGGGAGGTCGACGTGGAGCTTCCACGTCGTGCGCTCGCTCGACGGCACGTAGTTGGGCACCAGGTGAGCAATATCATCGTAGAAGGCAGCGTTCCACTCGGGATCGGCCAGCTTCGCGGCGTCGGCGTGCAGCTCCAGGATATCGGTGCCGGCCGGGGCGCGGTTGAAGTGGTAGTACTGGGGACCGAAAGTGCGGTCGAAGCCGTTGGTGATGTTGGGGGTCTGGTCGCCGTGGTGGTTGGACGAGATGTAGTTGTACACGATGCCGTCGACGGTCAGATCCGAGTGGAGCGGGCCGCCGAAGTAGGTGTCGCGCGTGTTGAAGACCATCCACGCGCCAAAGGTCGAGTTGTCCGCCGTCTTGGAACCGTCGGCGAACATGCCGTAGGCGTCAATGTCGCGCCAGGTGTCCTGGAAGGTGTACTTGGTGAACCAGTCCGCCTCCTGCTGGACGTACGGGTCGTTGGGGGTGTTGCCGAGGTACCAAGTGGCGTCTTGCACTACCACCTGGTTCGCGACGGCCTCCTTGGACGGGAGGGGCGCGTACTGCGTCGGGTTGGTGAGGAGATGCGTCCACATGGGGTCGTTGGGACGGAACAGCGTCCGCAGCTCTTGCAAGTTGCGGAGGAAGGGCGCCTCCTCGTTGTGGTAGGCGACGCGGCTGAACATGTGCAGGCCGGTCTCGCCCTCGCGGAGGAACCAGTACTGCTCCAGCACCTGTCCCGTCGAGGCGTACGTGTCGGACATCTTGACGCCGCCGTAGGGGACGCCCGAGGAGTCGGTGCCGTTGTAGAGCTCGAAGGTCGGGGTGACGCTGCCGGGGGTCCAGAAGCCCTCGGGTGTGCAGTAGCAGTCGAGGTACGGGCCCTTGCCGGTGCTGCCGGAGGCGGTGCCGAGGAGGTTGACGCCGTCGAGGGTGAGCTCGACGACGGAGCCGCCGGGCTTGGCGATGGCGGCGTAGAGGCGGTCGTTGGCGATGATCAGGCGGTTCGAGGTCTCGGTGGCGTTGAGCACCGCGGCGGCGGGGACCGCGGACAGGGCCAGGCCGAGGGCCGCGTTGCGGAGGGTGGAGACGCGCATGGCGAGGTTCTGTTGCGTCCCGTGATGGTGGCTCACGCGCTTTCACTTGGACTGGGGCGAGTGTTCAAGGTGCTAACGAAGGGACAGCTCGACTCGTCGGACGTCGGGTGCCTGGCCAGTGGGAAGAGGAACGCGGAGGGGGGAGCGGTGTGAGTCGTGAGGCCTCTTATATATGACGGGAGGGTACACAACACCTCGGGCATCTCATCTCCGTCCAGCCATAACAATAGACCCCTTGGCTTTTCCCCCGCACGAGGAATCTCGTGAACATGGGGAAGAACTAGTCGGGAGAACGAATAGAACAAGAGGTGCGGGGGGCCGCTAGAGAGAAACGAACCGGCGGTTCGTCTGGTTTCCTGGGCGCTCAATTTCACGGATATGGATAGCAGGCAGGGACGGGCATGTCTGCGTGGAGAAATTGAGGTCCGGACTGGCGGGTGAATATTTCGAGGTTGTCTTATTCGCCAATTGGCAGAAGATGGTCCGGGGAACCTCGTTGTTTCTCCGCACGAAAACCCCAACCACACCCCCAGACAACCCGCATACCGATCCCACCCCGGCTCGGCGCAGAAGGCACCGAAGTTGCCGGGATTGGGGATGCTAGCCTCAGAGGAACTCTCCAGGAACCAAAATTTGCGCAGATCCACGTTGCAATGCGTTGCCGTGCTGGGCCGAGATGGGGTCCTGGTTGCGTCGGTGTAACATGGTGTCGAGGCGGGACAATTTCCCACGTATTGGGGCCGGGGTTGGGGAGGTTTGTTCGGATGAACCGTTGTGTTGGGTGAGGGAGTGATGTTCGGGTTGGAGATGCCGGTTGGTTTTGTTGATGTCATTGAAAAGTCGCTGGCGGATTTGGGTGGTGGAGGTATGGGATTGCTTCTGGTGAGGTTTATCGATCTCGCGTGCTCTACAAGGGCGACGTTGTCATATATATAGTAAGTCTTTGTTGCTGATATTCCAGAACCATTCGAGCATCATGTCGAGAAAAGGCCTCAGCTTTTAGAGCCGTACGCCCCTCCATAGAAGCGTTAGCTACCTAGCAGGTTGATCGACGAGTGCGCACTGCAAAACCCCGATGAGATGCTTGACGAATGCGTGAGAATAAACACAGAGCGCAAGACGTGAGGGACGGCAAAGAGGGGCCAATAATCTCAACGAAGTCCAAAGCCAGTGGTTGACTTGCGTTGGTCCAAATGCCACGATGGCCTGATGGCTTGCCAAACTCCCTCAAATACCGTAACATGAGGGAAGTCTCGAATCAGATTAGACCTCGATGCTGCTGAATCGAATACATCAGTGGGCGTGCGAAGTATATATAGCAGGTGACCTTTACTTGAGTTTTTGACGAAACTCGATTCAACTTTTCGGGGGCGGATCGGGGTTTTTCTGGTGAATATATCTTTGGGACAGGTGCCGGGTGAGTTTCGGTGTTAAAGTGTATAACGTCCGAGTGCTCGTAGGCATTGAAATGATAGATTGGAGGCCCGAGATGGTGTCATCTGCCGGCATCTATTATAAATCCAGATCATGTCACGCACTTCTTTGCAAGGCCAGTATCGTCATCTCTGAGAGCGGCAGTGACATGCGCGAAGGACACCCTGACTTCTTGAAGTATGAACTATCTTTGCTCGCAAAATATCAGATTCTAGAATTGAACGGTTGAGTAGCTGAGTTTTATTTTATTCTCAACGGATGAGCTTGAATACGGGACAAATGACGGACGACGAAAAGGAGGGACGGAGGAATGCTCGGTTTCACGGGTATGTTTTTCGATTTGCCCACTGAAACTACATCGGCGTTGTTGAACCTCATCAGGTGAACACTATTCGATTCTGCGATCAGCGAAGACGGGCAGAGGCCATGGTGGTCTGTTGCTGGATAAATTGATTCAAGGTGACCACTACTTTATACTCTTGGAGCTTCGGCCTGCCCGAGGACAGCAACTCATCTTTATAGATGACTTTCACAGCTGTCTTGAGCATTTGCGTTTCTACCAAGGTTCGAGAAGAGCGAGTACTTTCAGTACTATTGGTACTAGAAACGGGCCACTTCATAGATCCGGCACAGCACGTTGCGTTGTTGTCAAGAAGCTAGACCTGCTCCGGGACTGATTACATGTCTTCGTCATTTCTAAAGATGCAGATTGCATAAATGGGGCGATTGCTCCAGGTCACGAAATGGCCATTCATCGTTTGTCGGCGGTGTCGTATGTGGATTATTCAGGTGTGTTCGCAGAAGGTGCAATTCTCACAGCTACTGATAGGGAGATCTGAGGTTCTCGAGAACAAACCGGCCAATGCCCAAGACCATGAAATGGTTCTCGAGCAAGCAGCGTCAAGGAACGAGACGTCTCGAAACCTCGGCGGTGTTGTTTCAACTAGACGTAAAAGAACCACTAAGCATAATATATATATACCATTAGATCTTTCTCTACGGGAATCATCTTGTTGATCAGTTCCAAAATGTTCACAAGACCCGGACTTCAATCTGCTCTAAAAGGATACGTCCCACATCAACGTAGTAATACCTCTATAGCAGGCCGTTTTTGAGCTGGATGTTCGCCCTCCATCAATCCCACCGCAAAGCACCAGCTGACAAGAGTGTATTCCGGAAGCAGCCTCTCATCCGGGTCCCTCGGATCCCCTCTCGCCATGCTCTCAGGCTCAGATTGCCTGAAGATCAGAGGAAGACGACATCCGGGCACGGTGCAAAGTACATCGTCGACTCTGACGGCCTGTGGCCCGATGCAGAAGATCCCGGTCTGGGTCATGAAGGCGTTCCAATCATCCACTCGAGGCCCAGTGGTCCTTTGAAACCGATTGCCCTTGATTCTTTTCATGTCCTCCTGAGAGTTGCTCGAATGCAACCATTCAAGCCACTCCCTGAAGTACGTGAGATACTCCTCCCGGTTTACGGGCTGGTCGTCGACGTCCAGGCCCATGATCATGGACATAGCCACCGTGTCGTTCCATTCGTCTTCGGAAACGACTGCCGGATGCATAGGTCTCAGTGCCAAAACCTGTCTCATAGCTTTCTTCTGTCGTTTCACGGAGCGTGAGTTGAAGGGCGAGCAAGTTACGGACACCTCGTCGATAGGCCGAACACGGATGCGGAGGTAGTCAGCCCCTTCTCTGGTGGCTTTCGCTTCCATGCGACCTCCCGCCTTCCACTTGGCGTTATAGCAAGATTGAATTGGCTGCTCGAATTCCTCGTTTCGAAGATCCGGTACCCAGGTCGGCAAGTCGGATGGGAGTCTACGACGAGCGATACCCGCCAACGCCAAGACGTTGCGAGACGTGCCGTGACAGAGCAGGGCCTCGGCAGTCATTAGGTACACTTGTTGGAAGGACGTGGAAGGGCTGTAATCCGGTGCGGGAAGAGGCGTTCGATGCCTGGCGAGGCCCATGAAACCGTATACCTTGTCGCGATCGTCTGTCGCCTTGCAAAAATAAGATGTCTCGAGCAGCTTCTCAAAAGACACGGAACGATGTTTTCGGAATTCCCGCAGGATAGCCATGAGCTCGGACGCATGCCACAGCCCCAGGATGGACGGGTGATCATCCCCGTAGTCATCCACGTCGAAATACAGCCACACAGCGTAGACGCAGCACTCAAAGACGCGGAAGTCGACACTGTCGTCGCCGCACATAACCGCGACATTGCGGTTGAGTACGACTTCCTGGATCACCCAGGTCCGGCGGAACCAAGGCCGTGCCAAGAGCGTGAAGACGTATCTAATATCTTCGAGATTTTCCTTCTTTTCCTCCTCCCAGTCTTCCTTCCAGGAATGATTCCGCATCAAGTTCATGAAACGGAACGCGGCGTGAGATTCCTCGTCTCTGGTACCCAGCCACATGATGACTTGGTCTGCGGCCGAGTATATCCGACGCATGAGCTGGACCTGAGAGCTTTTCTCCTCATCGTTCTTCTGGTTGATGCAGAGCGCGTCGATCCACAGCGTCCAAGATGCCTGTAGAGTCTTGAGCTGGCCGAATAGGTCGCTCAGGGTTTGGTTGAGTTGAAGCGATTGACCGCCGCGCAGTTTCAGTTCCGTGACTGGTTCGGACGCTCCCCAGGCATACGATAGTGCCTTGTATTGAAAGGGGCATTTGTCGAGGTGAACAGTCTCGAGGCTGCCAATCAAGTCGTCGCGACCGACTAACTCGACTTGCAAGAGTCGGATGTAATTGCCCTTGGGCAAAGGGCTGTAGACTTCGCCATCGGAAGCCTGCATCGTACAGAAGAGAGGATGTGTGTTGAGGGGCAATCCGTAGTCGGACAGTTGATGAGAAATTGGCAATGTGATGGTGAAAATGGGGGGTCTGATGTCCAGCATTCGAAAGGTGCAGTTCCCTTTTTAAACCCGACTTCTGCGGCTAAGCATGACGCAAACAGTCATCCAATGCCTTCTGCCAAGGTGTTCTACCCTTTGCAGCATAAGCACAGTTCGTGATGGTGTGTTGAGAGCAGGCTGCGACGGTGACACAAGCGAGTTATATACATGGCATGGTTGTAAGGTATTGTTCATCATGCCTCTATCGGGATGCAGAAGTTCTGACACTGTCTTAACACGGGCATAATTCGGTGATCAAATCGTCGTGCCATTGCCAGAACACGCATGTGCCCGGCTGTAACCCCATACGCCTACGTGCAGAAGGTGAAGTTGTGATTATGCGGCTTCAGCACTTCAGCAGCAAACGGCCCGTACCCTCCCTTGGGCTCTGAATCTTCTGCATCGAGTATGTCTGTGAATACCTCTCGTGCCTGGGCGCATAACACCGGCATGTTACTCATGAGTCCTTGAGCCAAGTGTGTCCAGTCGGCGACACCAGAAAGTCTCTGCCGGAAAGCCTGCAACAATTTTAAGTCAGTGATACGGGGACTTTGTATTCGGGGATGCACTTACCTCGAGTTGTTCCCTCACACTCTCATCTTCCTCCAATGGTCTTGTGAGTCGGATTGCTCGCTGCGTGTGGACGGCGTACTTGACCACTTTGAAGAACTTGGAGCAGCCATCCAGCATGTTCCGTATGTCGCAGCCTTCCTCGCCAAGCCCTGCCAAGAACTGCACGAATTGGCCGATGATTCTCACGTTTAGATGAGCCTCTGGACCTGTCGGGTCTTCCAGAGAAGCCCATAGGAGTATCAAACAGGCCGTCAAGGGATAATGCAGCATGCCCCTATGCCGTGTTAGTGTGTGCTTGAGTAAAAGGGCTTCGGAAGAGATATCGAAAACAACAGAGGAAGACATCGCCGGGGATAAGGCTGAAGAACACAGTAGTGCAGAGACAAGACTTACCATAACTGCACAAAAGACTGGGATGGCATCACCCTCAGGATGTCAATCGTGGCGCGGGCAGCCGCTACAACTTTTGCGTAGGCCTGCTTGACAATAGGACACGACTCTTGGCTCGATCCCCAGCTCGGATGTCGAAAGAGCGCTACGGCGTGACTCGAAACATTGTTCAACCGAGCTAATGTGGTGTGCGTCTTGATCACGGCATTGAAGTAGATGAAATGGAGATGCACCACACACGTGTCTAATTCCCTGTCGGTAGTGGCGGCCTCTAAGTCGGGTCTTGAATCTTTGGGAAGCGTGAGCCTCCAGTCTTCCAGCTCGGTGTTTAACGCGAAAACGGCTGTTTGATGTTCTAAACCAGACTGCCCGGGAGTGTCTGTCAGATTCTCGTGGATCTTGGATCGAATACGAGAAATCTCTGCCAGTTTCCTGACGTAGTTCAGCGACTCTTGCCCCTGAGATTGCCCCGATAGGCTGTGGGGGTCGGAAAAGTCCTCATCTGGGAGCTCTGTTGTGATCTTCGATTGATCAAATGGCGTAGGTAGCCCGTACTTGATCATCAGGTCAGTATTAACGATGTGCGTCACCCAGCACACGCGGCGGTAGCGGTTCGCCAGATCATCGTCCAGATTGGCGTAGGACTCCTTCCTATGAAGCCCGATGATGTGTGCGACCCGGGCTGCAGAAGATACAATGTGAGAGATGATCCTGGCGTCGGCCGTGCCAATAAGAAACGTCGCCAGGCTCAACATCGCCTCGCACGTAGCGAGGTCTGTCCTGGACAGGACGAGCTCACCGAAGGCGGCAAAAGCGTTCTTGAAATAGCCCCAACCCATCCGAGCCATGTGATCAAAAGAGTCGTTGGCCATGCGGAACTGCAAGGCGGAGCCAAAAAGGGCATTCATAATTGCCCATTGAGCAGGATCGTCGACGAAGGCGGCGCCCTCGTCGGTGTACTGCCCATCGACGAGCTGTATGAAAGACCTCCGGGTAAGAGTAGGACAGAATAGTTGAACTTCTTCGATGACGCTGTGCTCGAGATCGACCATGTATTCGCGAGGTGGAAAGTACGCGAACACCTTCCTCGGAAAGCCGCCGGGGTCCATACGCGCCTCCATCTGGTTTTTTGTACTGCGGAGCTTGGCTAGCAGTTCGTTTCCCGAGAACAGATCTTTCAATGGCAGCAATGGAAGTGAAATATCAGGAAATCTGTGAATCTCCGGTGCCGATGAATTTGACCCATCTTCATGACTATTGGTTTTTGCGTTCTCAGTAACACGCAGTTGGGAGATCTGCTGCAAAGATGCCTCGATGGCCTTCAGCTTGGCCTCTGTTTCCTGAGCAGACTTATTTCTTGAGTTCTGTCAGTCCAATAAATCCCATAATCTACATCCATGTGCCAATAACTTACTTTTTTCCGGGACCTCGCCGCCTCCGTTGAACATACACGCAGGGCACATTTAGTCTTGTGCATAACCCACATGCTGGTTCACCACCATCGCAGCGTCTTTTCCGACTCTGACAATGCTGGCATGCCTTGAGAAAAAGAGTTAGATCCTTCATGCTGACAATGAAAGTTGGGGCTTGTTACGTTGTAGATGCGCTTCTTCGAATTATCCTCGGAACCTTCGCCGGCCGTGGCGGGGGCGGGGGACTCTGAGCTGCTGGCCATGTTCGTGCGGAAGCAATGCGAGGCGGTATTTGAATGACAGGCGGAAGCAGACACAACGCGAAAGCAGGCTTGAGGCAAATAGAATAAGAGGAAGAGAGAAAACATCCGCATTCTAGAAGTCCGTGGCGGTCATTCTTCAGGAGAGGTTGTTTAAGTCAAATGTTAGTCAGCGGCGGAAGCAAATTCTTGGGGTAAAAAGGGTCCGCCTCTCTCACTGTGTAATTAACTGTATCAATGCACTAGGGATGTGCTTTCCGACACCCTGAAATGCCCAGAAAACATCCGCCGCACAGTAGGAACTCACTGTGAATACAGTCCCCTCAATGACCCCCAAAATCTACATCCGCTTGGTGGAGACTAGTCCTTTGATCACGACATGTGAGAACCTCATCCTAGAATGAAAAGGGACATAATAGCGGAATCAACACTTTCGAGATGAATAATAACGGCCTCGGACTCGTCCGTGTCGGGCAACTTCTTATCCCGCAGTGCCGCATTGTGCTTTCAGCGATGAAGTACTTATTGGACCGAGTATCTCTTACATGTTAATGCCAACACCATCAACCAACAACGAGAAGCTAACATCATTATTCACACAATTTCATTGCAAAATCTTCAATATGAGCACTTTCAAGAACGTCGCTCTCCTTGGTGTAAGTTCATCTAGCCTCATCACACTCATCAACCTCTAACCTCAGTGCTCTCACAGAAAGGAAACCTCGGATCCGCTATTCTCAAGGAGCTTGTTGACGCCGGTTTCAACGTCACCGTCTTCGGCCGTTCCGAATCCAACAGAGAAGGTCTCCCGTCGGGTGTCAACTTCGCGCTGGTAGACTACGCTTCCACCGACAGCCTCGTCTCCGCCCTCAAGGGCCAGGACGCCGTCATTTCGACCCTGAGCAAGGGCGGCATCTTCCACCAGAAGACCATCATCGACGCCAGCATCAAGGCCGGCGTCAAGCGCTTCGTCCCCTCCGACTGGGGAACCTTCACCACCGACCCCAAGGCCCACCGCGAGCTGGCCATCGTGCTGGGTCCCATGGTCGACATTCAGAACTACCTCGCTGAAAAGGCCCGCGCGGGCGAGATCGAGTACAACATCTTCTCCATCGGCGGCTTCCTCGACTTTCTCATCAACTTCCCCCTCGCCTTCGACTACGCCAACAAGACTGTCGAGCTGTGGGACGCCGGAAACTACCCCATCAGCACCACCAGCCTTTCCAGCATCGGCAAGGCGGTCGCTGGCGCGTTGAAGAACCCGGAGGCCACCAAGAACCGCAACCTCAAGATCCACGAGCTGGTCGTGACGCAGGCGCAGCTGGTCGCTCTGGCTAAGAAGTACTCCCCTCCTGGAACGGAGTGGAAGGAGATCAAGGTCGACGGCGAAGCGGGATTCGCCAAGGCCGTTGAGGCTGTAAAGGCTAACCCGTCCAACGAGTACGCCATTCTTGGTGCGATCAAGGCTGGCCTTCTCGCTGGCAGATTCACAGCTTCGTATGAAAAGGTCGACAATGATTTGGTTGGCGTCCCTCTCCTCAGCGAGGCCGACCTGGAGGCCAGATTTGCGGCTGTGTACAAGTCCTAGACGTATTTAGTCTTCGAGCGATGTGATGTCATCATCTAGATAGAATTTCAAGGAATAACCAAGTTGTATTGACTGTTGTTTTCTTGACTAAGAAATCTTATAGAACATGCTTTTACACGATGTTTGCTGGTTGAATAGTGATACGACAGATAGGGTTGAAGAGACAATAGCACATTATCAATTCTTACCTTCTCATCAGCCCTCTGAAGCGGTGTAAATGTGTATATCGCCCTTGTTCCCCAATAGGGCTTCACTGTTGGTTAGTTGCCTCGTAAATCAGCCTCAGCACTCCAATCTGTTCATGAGAACCGATTCGGTCATTAATGGTAGCTACTCGCATAAGTCCTAGGTGTCAGAATTGTGCATCACAGATATATGACGGAACACAACAAACACAAGACAGATAATGTCCTGAAGTCGGCTTGATCGGCATAAACTCACTTTCATGATATCTAAAATGTGGCCGTCGGCCCTTGAACGTTTGCAACAGGATGCGTAACGCCTCGACAATGAGGCATGAGTAGGCATGCGTCCGTAAGTAAGTCCTCATGTTCAGCTGGTATCTAGCTTTTACAGGCGCTCAAAACAGGTAAGATGGCACTTTGTGCCATTTATCGTTCATAGCATGCTCGTTATGAAAGGATAACTCGACATGTCCAGCATATTGGGAACAGCCGTGTGTACAACCTGCCATGATGTTGGGACCGGTCGTAAGTCAGGCAGTTGTAGACTCCACGCCGAATGCCAAAAAAAAGCCTGTTATCCAATTTCACCGGTCTCAGAGTCGCCCACTTACCCAAGCTTCTAGTATCCGAAGCGCAATCTTCCATTTCCAAGAATACATCTCACCGACTGGAGCCGTTCGACTTTCACCGGTGAGTCTTTCCCAGATCCTTTTGAAACGGCATCTTCTCGCTTGCTTCACCCAAGTAAATCGCGAACTTTATTCCTGATGCCAAGCGGCCTGGACTTCCAGAATTCAGCCATGGACGAAAAATAGCGCCCGCGGATTCCCGGGCCGGACGAAAGAAGGGAACGGCCACGCGTCATACGCACACCTTGTCAATCTATTCGAACCCTGGTCTCATCCTACCCAAGTCGAATCTGAGTCGGGTTCGATATCAGCCTGTTCAGGGTTGACAGAGCAGATCCCGAGATTTTTCCCGGTTCTAGACGTCGACACCCTCCTTTCCAACTTCCAACTTACACGGCATCGCCCCAGCGGCCGTTCGTTTAATTCTGGTTCCTCCCACCCTGCTCAACCTCCGGAGCTACCCTCCTGCCAAGAATTCCCTCATCGGCCGCCAGAGAGTCATGCCTCGGCACCTCCCTCGAGTCCCGCGGCCTCCCGTAGCCCGCTTATCAATCCCCTACCACCTCGAAGATCTACGCGTCACCAACACATCCCACCAGATGCCGTGTCAGGCCTGGGAACAGTTTGACAATCCACGTCGTGCCGCGCTAGCATCTGGGATATTTCAAGATTCACTTCTGACAGTTTCCAAACTAGGCAAGCAATTCATAATTCAGGGGCGAGCACGAAAAAAAAAGCTACAGCGGCGGTTTGAGGCGATCCAGGGCTTCTTAGTGTGAACCTCCATCCCCCCCGATTTGGGCACCAACGCTACTTCGCCCAGGGGGCCTAGGTAACGAGCCAATCGTTGGCGCCTCCGTTACCATTCTCGGAACAGTCCCGTACCCGCCGGACCGGGGTTCGGCGGCACTAACGGGGGCCACCAGACGGGTGGGGAGAGTAATCGGCGGGGGGTTTGACGGGGCGAACGGAGCTGCGGGGCCGCCGCCGGTACTTTACCTTTGTTGGCATTTCTCGAAACATTCCATGGCCATGTCACAATCTACATCATTCATCACTTTGCAAAAGACCAGAAAAGGCCGCCTCTTTCGTCTTGTCCGCATGAGAGTGCGCGGGACGATCCGTCGTCAATCTTGACACTTTCAATCGGGCTATTCCCCAACCCGAGAGATGACGCAGCCCGGGCCAACATGCTATCTACCCTATCTCTTTCTCTATCTCCGTTTCTTTCTGTATCTGGACGCCCACGCGGGTTTCTCCCCGGAAACGATATCCGCAGTTCGGTCTTGGAAAGAAGACGGCACCTTTGTGAACATGAACAAGAAGTCGTCCTTAACCGAATATTCTACCCGGGCAGAATAACCCAGCGTCTTCGTTCAAGTGTCGTCGAATGTAACAATCTCGTAGCGTGCTGATTTCCAACTTTACGTCCCTGATCATCGGGTTCCTCTCCCGATCCTGCACCTCAAAACTCCTCGGGATCATCCCTGCTCCGCACGCTCACGTCAACATTCCCCCCAACCTTCTTTCCCGCGGCAACCCCAAAGTGACGACAGATTTCCCCAAACTCTCAACCAACCTCACACCGACAATTGCTAATCAGCCTCTGTGACCAAACTCGCAACGTCCATCAATCCACCGGCTCAAGCTATTCAGGCCGCGCCGGACATACTCAATCGCAAAATCCAATCTTGATATTCACTTTCACCACCACAAAAATGAAGATCAAGACTCTAAACGTCTACCCAATCAAGGCCCTCCGCCCCATCCCCCTCACATCCGCAACCCTCACCCCGCAAGGCATCCTCCACGACCGGACCTACATGCTCTTCCGCGTGAACGAAGACTCCTCCCTCCGCAAGCTCCAGCTCTCCTCGTGCCCCCAGACCGCCCTCTTCTCCCAAGAAATCGTCTCCTCCTTTGACAATATCACCACCTCCTCCGACGGCGACGACGGCGACACCATCCTCGTGAGATACAACATCCCCTCCCCGCCCCTGATCCCCCACCACCCCCTCCAGGACACGACTCTCCGCGTGCCCCTCGTCCCGGACGACGCGCTCACCGCGGCCCTCGAACCCATCTCCATCGACCTCCACGGCAGCCCCGCCGAGGCCCTCCGCATGGGCGACCCGTACGACGCCTTCTTCTCCGCCTGCCTCGGCTTCCCCACAATCCTGGTCCACATCGGCTCCGGCCGCCGTCCCGTCCTCGGCACCCTAGCCCCGGGCTCCTCCTCCTCCGCGTCCTCGTCACAATCCCTCTTCAGCTCCATCGCATCCTACCTCCCCTCCCTCACCTCATCCCAGCCCAAACCCGAAGCCGACCAATGGCTCACGTTCACCGACTGCGCGCCCTACCTGGTAACATCCCACTCCTCCCTCTCCCACCCCTCCCTGGCCCCCTTCACCCCGTCCTCCCCCTCCACCCCGTCCCCGATCATGCCCAAGTTCCGCCCCAACATCGTCCTCGAAGACCCCTCCGAGAACCCCTTCGCAGAGGACTTCTGGGCCGAGCTCACCCTCCACCCCTCCGCCCGCAAACTCCTCCTCACCGCCAACTGCGGCCGCTGCTCCTCCCTCAACGTCGACTACGCCACCGGCCGGCCGGCCCCGGGACCCGAGGGGAAACTCCTCAACACGCTGATGAAGGAGCGCCGCGTCGACCCGGGCCACAAGTACGCCCCCATCTTCGGCCGGTACGCCTTCCTCTCGGGGTCCGGGGCCGGGGACCGGGATGAGACGATCCGGGTCCGCGTCGGAGACGAAGTCACCGTCTCGCGCCGCAACGCGGAGCGCACCGTTTTCGATTGGCCGCTCGGCGGAGCGTCTACATCTTCGACGGCGGCGGCAGCTAAGAAGGCCGTGGCTGTTGCATAAAAGTAGCTGCTGCTGCTGCTGCTGTTGCTGCTGCAGGCGCCTTTTCGTCATCGCCGTTTACGCATCCCACCCACCCCATTTCTTCCTTCTTTTCACATGATTTTCCTTCTCCTGTATCGTCGATAGATGATAGGTAGCAATCTCCTGAGGGTTGTATTCTAGACGGGCCGCCTGCGTCTTCGCAACTTGCGAAAGAAGCATGTGAAAAATAGACCTACCCTAAAAAGGCAGTTGTGTGTATTGTTTTTTTCCCACCCTCCGTAGAACTCGTACATGCGTCTCTTGCATCATCTCCTGATGGAAGTTGCTCAATCATACCACACACCGCCTACCACAGGCCAGCCGCACATTCTGAGGAATCGTAGAATGATCGTCATCGGCAGCGATGCCGCCTCTCTAGTCCTTCCCCTTCCCGCACCTCCTCTCCCACGCTTGATTTAGGTCTAGAACACACACATGTACACACATCATCGACATTGAACAAACGACACACAACCTCACCATCCGTTCCAAACACCACGACAAAACATCCCCCCTCCCCTCCCCAAACGCTAGCGCCAGCCCAGCTACCGTCATGAACCCATCAGGATCAAATCATTCGTACGTCCCTCACCACCTCTCCAAAAAAAAGCAACAATTTCCCAAGCGTCCGCAAGAATGAATTCGGCCAACACATGATCAGGGCACGTCGGCGTAACGGAAAGCACCCTAACATGTGCCGCGGCCAAACAGAAAAAACCCCGATCGTCAATGCGTGCATGCAGCGGCCCGTTCGAAAACGCTTCCCCGAAAGTACACAAACGAAGCAATGGCGTGCCTCCGTTGTCAAACAACCCAACACACAGCGCGCGCGTGTGTGTGTGCCCATGTCATGTCATATCATACCGAGTCAGACCTTTAAACCCAACGGCCTGGACACACACGAGCGAGAGAGATGCCGGTGTAAGCCCCGTCCGTTCCGGCCCCGTCATTTGCCAGATATGGCCCTTCTACGTAGCCCGCAGCGAGGCGCATAATCGAGGCGGGAAATAAAACCAAAAAAAGGGACAAGAAAATCTCGTCAAGTCCCGTGCCGGATCGCCGCCCGTCTCGTCAAACCACCAAACCGCCGCGGCGGGACCTGACAGACCTGATAGAATAGAAACAGACCGAGATCGGTGGTGGTGTTGTTACACAAAGACTTACTCTCGCGTAAATACTCGCTCGGAGAGATAAAAACACATCTCGACGGGAACCCGCCCTGCCCAGATGTCATGCCACGCTTCCTTGTGCCACCCAAACCCCGGATCTTCGTTCTCGTGCGACGGAACACGAAAGAAGCAGGGGGGGGGGGGGGGGGGCGGGGGGGGGGGGGGGGGGGGGGGGGGGGGGGGGGGGGGGGGGGGG